CAACAAAAATCGGGACACCGTACCTTACGAAGGGCTAAGTGGTAGGGGCAAGGGGTGAAATGGGATCAGGCCTAAGAATGCTTGCTCCTTATTCCCCTCTGTTTAACTAAGCAATGACCACCAGCAGCTAATAAGTGATTGATTATCCAAATACTTTTTACATAACCATTGGTAAAATAATTCTTGAAATTCACAAGTAAATTGTATGTTACGTCAGACAGAAAAAGTCCCAGTGTATACCTCATCTCAGTGTCTGAGTTACAGCTGAATCAATGCTGTGGCTGTTTCGTTTGGCTTCCTTTCCTCCCATCAGACAGTCTGGGGTTTTGTCTGTAAATGTGGCCAAAAGCCCCTGTATTGATGGGAAAGGGACACGCATGAAACAAAGCATGCCTTTTGGCAAAAACGAGAGAACGTGCCCGTTCTTCTGCCGTCACACCTCAAAATACTATCTGAAACTCTACGCTGTACATGGCTAGTGTGATATTTTGAGATCTTTATGGAGCTCGCTCTGTGCAGAGGGGCCCAGTCATGCTGGAACAGAAAAGGGGCTTCCCCAAACTGCTGCCATGAAGTTAGAAGCGTATAATTGCCTAAAATGTCTTTGTAAATTGTAGTTCTCCTGGTATCCGCCAAACCCAGATTGATCCACCAGACTGTCACATAGTGAGGCATGATTCATCACTCCAGAGAACGTGTCCACTGATCCAGAGTCCAGTGGCGTGCCTAACGCCACTCCATCAATGCTTGGCATTGCACATAGTGATAATAGGCTTGTGTCAGCCATAGAAACCCATTTCATGAAGCTCCCAGCACCCAGTTCATGAGATGATGTTACTTCTAGAGGCATTTTGGAACTCTGTAGCAAGTGATGCATCAGAGGATGGGTGATTTTTACATGCAATCAGCACAGAGAGGATGTTTTGTTTACTTGTTAAGTGCTTCAACCAAGCAATAACTTTTAATGATGGGATGCTGTGAATGTCACAAACCTTTAAATCCAGAGGCTGTATCTTGCCCCAGAAGGCTCCGTCACAGTGAGCAAAGTAGGCACTGCTAAAATGCATGTTCCTATACAACTTCTGTAGCTTTTATATATAATAAATAACATATTTTATAAGAATATATATTTCATTCATATTCAATTTTTATATACTACAGTACACCAGTGCAAGTATTTCACAGCATCTCAATAAAACAATAAATGTAAATTTGCAATATGTGTTTGTTATAGCCAACGCTAACTGCAGCTTTTTTTTTTAGAAACACTGCACCACTCAAGAATGTGTTTGGTTTCAGCGTCGCTCCAAAAGTGTTTTGCTGCGTCATCGCTGCTTACTTATTTCCAGTACCGCAGTCTGTTTTCGCACATGTGCAGGCTGGCAAATCCGAAAGAAATCAGAGTAAGAGTTCACATGCACTGAGAAACCTGACTACTGAGCTAAAATCCAGCTCTGTTTATCAGATTCATTAGTCAGATTTCTAGACCTTACGGCAATCTAAAATATTGAAGTATGCTGTTCGCATGATTATTTGAATAATCAGATAACTGCAGAAATCCGATTATGATCGGATTATTAAGTGCATGGAAACGCACTCAATGTTTTATTTTGATATTTAGTTATTCGCCAGTTGTATTGTCACGGTGTTATTGTTAAACAGTGTTGTACTTTTGTAGGAAGCAACACATGCAAGTTATTTCACTTTGCACACATGGCAATAGTGAGTTTTGACTTCTGGACAAAATGGACAAGGTACAGAAGGAAATGAGGTCTGAGGAAATTTTCTCAGGAGATGCTTCGGTCCTTCATGTGGACAGAGAGGCCTGTGTTTGCTTGTTTGTATGCATTTTTTATTTTTGTTTTGTCTCATGGTGAGATGTGATAAGGTCCCCCTGCTGCTGTGTGTCATGAGTAGCCTGTTGCCATGGTTACTGTGTTGTCATTTCCCTCTAGCACACTTACAGAGGGGTCAGATGTCACATTCTAAATGACATCACACTCCTGTTTACACAACGCTGTCAGGGTCAACAGGGGTTTCAGTGTTTTTGGAGCATTTGTGTCAATGCTGGATATTACAGCACTGCGGGAAAGATTCAGGCCTGCCAAGGGAGCGGTTTGAAGCAATTTATCTGGATAATAAGTGTGTGCAGAACAACAGAATAAGTACAAATAAACATAAACACAGTTTTACTATACAACCAAAGTGTAATCATGAAATTACATATTTGATTACTCAGTGAATTTGCATATGATTTACATTCTGTATTGTCAGGTTCAAATCTGCATTAGTGTTCACAACAAACTTACCATCAAATCGTAATAAAATATCTCCTCTTTGACTCACAAACACAAATGTTCAATGTTCTGAATTTAAATGTTTGATAACATTTTCTCAGAATGGCTGATTGGCTACATTTGGGCTAAATATTTAATACTATCCTTAATTTATTAAGCCCTTCACAAGTGATAAAGGAGGGAGAGACTACACAAGGACTGAGAAAGACATAGAATAGAATAGACAGATGATGTGTTTGAAATGAATTAAAGGAGAGCATTTCCTGCAGCAGGTTATATTCACAGTGAAACTGGACCACTATATGATAAACTAACATCAGACATTGGAAAAGACATCATGTTGTTTGCGTGGCTTGATTTTAAGAGCAGTTCTAAGTCCCTGTAGATTAAATGTGGCTGCATTCATTCCAAGATAAAGACAGTTATAAAAGAGAGATTAAGGAGGAGAGAGGGGAGGGAGCAAGGGAGCGAGGGAGCGAGAGAGAGAGAGAGAGAAAATGTTGGGGTAAATGGAGAATGAGAGAGGAAAACAGAAGAGACAGTGAGACAGACAGGCAGAGAGAGGGAGAGAAAAAGCAGAGAGCAAGAGAAAGAAACTGAAGAGAGAGAGAGAAAGGCAATAGTAAGAAAGATGAGGCTTAGAAAGAGGGAGAAAGAAAATAGAAAAGATGGAGAGAGAGAGGACAGAGTGAAAACATAAAGGACAGGGAAAAAAGAGAATGAGAGAGAGAAGACAGAAAAAAAGAGAGGGTTTTGAGAGAGAAAGAGAGAGAAAGGATTGAGATATAAAATGAAAGGAAGAGAAAGAGAGAGAGGGAAGAAAGAGAGAGGAATTGAGAGATAAACAAAACGAAAGAGAGGAAGATAGAGGCAGGAGTAAGAAATGTGAGAGAAAGATAGCAAGGGTTAGGAAAGAGACAGACAGATTTAAAGAAAGAGGGAGAGGGTGAGAAAGAGAGAGAGACAGGGTGTGAGATAGAGGGGGAGAGAGAGAGAGAGAGGGAGGTGAAAAAGAGAGAGAAAGAAAGAGAGAGGGAGGGAGGGTGGAGGGAGAGAGAGAAAGATGATGATGGAGAGAGAGAGAGAGAGAGAAAGAGAGAAAGAGAGAGAAACTCACTGCCTGGTCTGAAATCTCTCCAACTCTTCTACTGGAGTGTATGTAGAGTTCACCCCCCACCACCACCTCCACTCTTTCATCTCTGAGAGAGCATGATCAAAGTCAGATGCTGTTAAATAAAGTGTGTGTGTGCGGTACAGAAGTGATCTCTCTTGAGGTCTGTTTCACCTGGCTTTTGTGTGTGTGTGTGTGTGTGTGTGTGTGTGTATACAGTAGGGCTGAACGATTTAGGGAAAATATCTAATTGTGATTTTTCTGATCAATATTGCGATTGCAATGTAAATATGAATATTTTCTATAAATTGAGTCCCAGGCCTTTTTTGCCAGCATGTCAAGAAGATCAGCATGTGAATTTTAATGGACTTGAGGTGTGAGTGTGCAAGCGTGGCAGTTTCACAAGCTAAAAAAAAAGACTTAAATTTCCCAGACAAACATGAAGGTCACTTCTAGCCTTCATAACTTCATAACAGTTTAAGCTACAGACATGATACACATATCAGACCATTCAGCAGACCCGGCCCTTACTAGCTAGCATGATCGAGCTGTGACATCAGCATCAGTTATCCTGCTTGGAAAATCCTGATATTATTGCTCTGTTTTTTGGCTTTCGTACTCCAACAAAGGGTTAAAACGGCAACATGATTCACATATCAGATCACTCAGCAGACTCTGCCCTCACCATCCAGAGTGATTTCATCCACCTGTGACCGTCCATCAGCCAGAAATCCAGCTCCAAAATCACCCAAAACCCACTCGCTACTGTTATATTACATCTTGTGCTTTTAGCCTTCATATTACACCAAAGGGTTAAAAATAGTGACATGATTTACTCACCGGGACACAATACAGCACAAACACACAGCCGGATCACTGTAGAACCTGCTATTAGCTCTCTGCTTTAACCTTCGCATGGCAACAAAAGGGTTAAAAGTCTAATCCTATGTATCCACTCGCAACTTCATTACACCAAATTCTATCATTGCTAAGAGGAGCGCTGACAGATCTGCTTTGTGCATAGTACTTTATCGTGATAAATCACACTGGTTTGTATAGTTAATCGCAATTTATCACATTTGTCTGAATCAAATGTGATGCTAAAGAAAGATTTGAATTTAATTTAAAAGCATGCATTTACTTGTTGTCTGAGTGGTCAAGTTAAGCTTCATCAGAATGTATTTATTACTTTCAGAAATTCAATAACATCATTGTCATAGTGTGAACAACAAGAACTGAATATGTAAATCACATTATTTCTACACACTTTCTATTTTCATCACTGACATCCAGTGACAGCAACAGTGGCAGCATGTTCCAAACACCATGGTTTCCATGTTGAAACAGGAGTGTGCTCTGTAGAGGACCCGTTAATTACTTACACTTAAGCAGTGCCATTTGATCAGCGGTGCCCACTCTTTTACATACAACTGTGTATGTTGTGTGTGTGTGTGTGTGTATGTGTGTGTGTGTGTGTGTGTGTGTGTGTGTGTGTGTGTGTCTGTGTGTAGGAAAGAAATGTTTCATTATTTACCAGTGATTTCATGACCGTCATCAGTACATTTTTTTTTTTGTGTGTGTTTCCTTTACAGTTGAGGCTCTTCACCTGGGAACATTGATGGCTGCTCACGGCTACTTCTTCCCCATCTCAGATCACGTGCTCACACTGAAGGACGATGGAACATTTTACAGGTTTCAGGTAAAGCCATTCATTCATGCATTCACTCACTCACTCACTCACTTACTTAACCAGCAGTTTTTACTAAAATGAACTAAAGTTTAACACGAGATATTTCAATTACTACCAAAATTTAAATACTACACTTTTTAAAAAGTTTTTTTTATTAAAGAAAATGGTTCTATATAGACTGCGATGGACTGGCGACCTGTCCAGGGTGTATCCTGCCTTCCGCCCAAAGACAGCTGGGATAGGCTCCAGCACCCCACCGCGACCCAGAAGGATAAGCGGTTTAGATGATGGATGGATGGATGGTTCTATATAGAACCATGAACACTCAAAGAACCCTTTGCATGATTAAATGGCCCGTTGCATCTTAATAGGGCTCTGCAGATCAATGAAGAATGCCTTATAGATGGTTCTATATAGAACCCTTTTTGAAAAGGGTTCCATATAGCACCAAAAAGGGTTCTTTTGTTCTTACAAGCAAAGGATGCTTTTTTGGTACTATATATAACCCTTTTTGCTAAGAGTGAACAGCAGCTGTTTTAGCTTTTATTTCCTATTTTTCTTGATCTCAGGAATTTAGTTTACGCATGTGAAAATTCAATTTCAACTAATATTAATTAGTTGTTATTATTAATTAGGAATATCAGGAACTTGATTTGCACAAATATCAACTAGAAAAAAATTTTACTTGTAAGATATGAATTTTCACTAGTGAAAAATCCATTTTCATGTGTAAATTGTAAATTTTATTGGATTTGTATTTTAAAAGCTGACACCACTTGCAGTAAAATCAATTCAAACAATTAGAATCACAACATGTCAAATTACTCTTTACTTATTTGCTAAACCAAACTTCCCACACACAGGAGAGAGATTCGCCAAACAGTGGGCCTCATTCACCAATATCTTCTTAATTTTTTTCTTAAATTTGTTCTTGAGAAACGTCTTAAGAAAAAGTCTATGTCAGATTCATGACATGTTCTTAAAGTGGACTATTCACACCTTTGTGCTCTTGACTGTATGTAGATTCAGTTCTGACCTAAGAACAAATCCCAAACAGGAAAACGCTGGTGAATGTCAGAATGTTCTTGAAAACTGCATAAGTGGGTTTTAAGAAGACATTTCTTCTTTGGAACGGTTGGTGAATGAGGCCCATTGAATTTTATGCTGGAAGAAGAGACGTTTTTAAATACAATGGCACTTAAATCTTCATCTAAAACCCTCCTCTGTTCTTCTACAACAGCAGTTAGAAGGTTTATCATGATGTTCTGTCCAAACAGATCAAAATGTGTCATTAGAATATAGTAGTTAATCAGATGAGTGTGTGTGTGTGTGTGTGTGTGATGTGTTGCATGTGTGACAGGACATTGTAGAAAATATTATTTAAACCATTTCAGGTTCTTTCTCCCATCAGAGTGGTTCAGTTGTCATTTTTTGCGGGACTGTGTTGGGTTATGAATCAATACCACCATATTTAAATGAGATAATAACACGGCCACACCTCACATCACGCAAGTGATAAGACGTGCTGCTAATCAGCAAACATGATACCGCCACACTATTTGCTCTTACTGTCAATGTAAATCTGCTGCTGCTGCATTTTGTGAATCTGATTTTTCCCATATATATATATATATATATATGTGTGTGTGTGTGTGTGTGTGTATATATATATATATATATATATATATATATATATATATATATATATATATCAGCAAATAAACAAAATTTGTGCACTAATATTTGCAGAAATGTACCATATTTAAGGTTGTTCCCTGCAGAAGATTTAACTTATTTCAATGAAAACGAGTAATTTGACCATATTCAGACTTGTGCACACACGTGCGTCCACTCGGTGACCACTTCATAACCTCATCCCATCTTTCATGTAGGTCCTCTATATATATAGACAGGTGACTGAATTAATGTGTGGAGAAACATGAGAACAGATGCTTTCAGACAGATGTACTGCATGATTACACATTTAACATTCTACTATCCTCTGTGGCATGTTGACAAATGCTGAGCAGGACAAGTTGACCTCAGGTTTGGAGTGGATGGCAGGCGCTTCAGTGACAAACAGAGTTGGTTACTTTGAGAATGTATTCCGTTACAGATTACTGATTAATAATGTAATCTTTTAGATAAGGATAAAGTAACATATTGATTACTTTCTGTTACTTTTGGATTACTTGTCTTTAATTAAAGACGTATAATTAAATAAAGAAAAGAGAAAAAATAATTTAAAACAACTTTTTTACAAGAATTTAATTTAAAACATGACAAACTCAAAGACTGCATGCATGTTTTATGAAACAGAACAATAGATTATAGGTGTCTAAACACCAACTGATGTGCCAAAAGCCATGGAATAGCAGTATGTAAATTGATTATAAAGTGGCGTTACCTCGGGGGACGGCTTGGAAATGTCCACATCTGTATAAGTTGTGAGGTGTTATCTTGTGAGTGAGGTTGAATACTGGTCAGCTTGCTCATTGTAAAGCGACATGAATTATCCGTGTTGATAAGGCTCGATAGAGGGCGCCAGACGGGTGGGACATTCCATTTCCAAAGTTGTGCAGGCATTTAAACGTTCCTCGATCCACAGTGTCATGTGTGTACAGGGAATACATCTTAGAAGGCATTATCACCCACAGTGGACAGCGCAGTGGCCGCCCACGGGTGCCTAATTATGGTGACCGGCGGCGTCTGGCTAGAATTATCCGTGCGAACAGACAAGTGACTCTGGCAGAAATCAGAACCATATTCAATGCATGAGGCCACACATGCATATCCCACAGGTCAGTGCAATGTTCTTTAGCTTTCATGGGATGTGGGAGCAGAAGACCCACCAGAGTGCCTCTGTTAACACCACGACACCGGACACAGCGCCTCACCTGAGCTCGTGAGGTCGCTAACTGGACCCTAGAGGACTGGCAACATGTGTCATGGTCCGATGAGTCATGGTACCAGTTGTTTCGGGCTGATGGTAGGGTTTGTGTGTGGCACAGACCCCATGAAGCCAGGGACCCCGGTTGTCAACAAGGCACTGTGCAAGCTGGTGGTGCATATCCGCCTAAACACGTCATTGACCGGTGAGCAGTATGTTTCACTGCTGTCCAGAATTGGTTTGAGGACTATTCTGGAGGGTTCCAATGAACGGTGTGGCCTGTATGTTCACTCAACATGAGCCCATTTGAGCATTTATGGGATGTGGTGGACCCACCTGAGATCCTGCACCTACAAATACCACGAAATTGGGTGGCTATCCAGACGGCACAGCTCGACATCCCTCCAGACGTCTTCCTTTCACTTGTGGAAATGATACTACGTCAAGTTGCTGCACTTCGCTAGGCTAGAGGGGGTCCTACACTAGAGTAGTTTCCTGTCCCATTACTTTTGGCACGTCATTGTATTGTGCCTCACAGAAACAGCCACTGAGCTCATTTATAGCAAAATGACCAAATCTAAGTGGAGTAATTTCAACCATAAAGACAAATTTGTACAACAGTATATTTCGTTTAAGTCTAGACATGAACACTCAAACTTTGAAGTTCAGAAATCCAGCTTTGCTGCCCAGGAAAAAAAAATGATTTTAACAGGAAAATTACATAAAAAAATCAGTACACTGAAACTAAAAGCTCTTAGACTAAAACACAGGGAAACAATTAATCACTGTAGAATGATTTCATACACTGGATCAAATGCAGCATAGTTAAAAACCCTACTGCTCTCCTGGGACTCTTATTTTGGGATTCGTCATCAACAATAATCATAAAAAGAGGCCATGCGACAAACTCAGACCGGCCACCATTTGTGTTGTGTCTGCTGAAAGGCTGTACTGGCTCATCGCTCTACAGCCTGTTTAATTCTAAGGCATAAAGGGATGTTGGAGAAATGGTCATGTACAACAAATTAGGACTGTTTATGGATTAGGACTGTTCTTAAACCTGTTTTTAAACCCTGTTAGGACAAATTAGGACTGTTTATGGATTAGGACTGTTCTTAAACCTGTTTTTAAACCCTGTTAGGACAAATTAGGACTGTTTATGGATTAGGACTGTTCTTAAACCTGTTTTTAAACCCTGTTAGAACAAATTAGGACTGTTTTTTTTAAACCTACACAAATGTTATAAATGGATGTCAAGGTTACGAATAACATGCAAGACAAATGTAGGATGTGGGTCCTTTATTAAACGTAGACATTGTTCTGGTTGTAACAACACTGATGATTGCTGATGATTGATGTGGTCATCACACACATCTCGATCACACACCTCTGTGTCTCACTCTGAGCAATGCACGGATGCATTTTCATTCATTTTTTGTCAGAGCCTGTCCCGTTCAGCTGAGATTAGAGCTTGCTGCCTGTCTGCTCAATTAATACTGTGATTATTTCCTTTTAGTTTATGAGAAAGACGTCTGGGATTATTGATGACCGAAGTCATTATCATTGTCTAGTAAAGGTGTTGGCTAAAACGGCAGACAAAACCAAATCTACAAAAACTTTGATTTAACCTTTAGCTGTTTACTGTATGTCCAAAAGTTTGTAGACACCTGCTCTTCTAGCGTTTCTTCTGAAATGAAGGGTATTAATAGGGAGTTTGTCCCCCTTTGCTGCAGTAACAGCCTCTACTCTTCTGGGAAGGGTTTACACTAGATGCTGGAACATTGCGGTGAGGATTTGATTGCATTCAGCCACAAGAGCATTAATTAGGTCAGGTACTGATGTTGGATGGTCAGTTCTGGATCACTCCAACTCATCCCAAAGGTACTGGATGGACTCCATCATTCCAGAGAGTGCAGTTCCACAATGATGGGGGCTTTATACCCCTCTGACGTTAATGCTTGGCATCGGGCATGGTGACCTTAGGCTCATGTGCGTCTACTCCAGAGCATCCCATTATATTAGTCAATGCTTTTCTATGGAGATTATACAAGCTGTATGTGTGCAATTGAACACCTCTGTCAGTAATAGGTGCACAATAAAGTAGTTGAATTTGCTATTTAGAAAGGCTGTCTGGAAACATTTGGACATGCTTACATTACATAAATATGAAGTACATCATTAATTATAAGTACATAATGCATTACATTTATTATATTCTATATTCTGTATCAACAGGTTTAAATCTTCAGTCTTTTTCCAGTTGTTTTGCAGTAGCATGGATTTAAAATTAGAATCTGCACTTTCAACAAAATGTGTCTGCTTGTTTTAATGAGCTACCAGTGAAAAAAATTGTTCAACAAATGTATGAATACTTTTCTATGGTCCACTCATCATGGAATTTTCACATAATGTAAAGGACGGCTGATGTGTTCAAATGATGTAGACGAATAAAAATCTACAAAAATGGAGATACATGTATTTTTTGGACAGTGATGATATGTGTAGCATCAGTAATTGATAGTACTATCTCTTTCATTTTCCTGCAGACTCCATACTTTTGGCCATCAAACTGCTGGGAACCAGAAAACACAGACTATGGTGAGCGCTCAGTATACACAGAAAATGTTCAAGTATTTCAAGCACTGAATTTAGAGTGTTTTATAATGAATTTAAATGTGCTGTTTCAGTGGTCTGGATAGAATTCAAATGGTGTGGTTGGTATGGTGTCCACACTGTAGACTAGGGTTAGATCCCCTGCCAGGTGAAGCACTCTACACTATACCAATAAGAGTCCTTGGGCAAGACTCCTAACGCTGTCTTCGCCTACCTGTGGAAAGCTACAATTATAAGTTGCTCTGGATAAGAGCATCTGCCAAGTGCCAATGAATTGAAATGTACAGTATTCACAGTGTTCTGCAATTAATTTAAATTTACTCTTTTTACAGCATTCCAGAATATGTTTAAAGTTTCTGAATGCTTAGTGTTTTGAAATTAATTTCTTATTTTATTCACAGTGTTGTGAATAAGTGGAATGAATTCAAATAGTCTATTTACAGCATCTAGAATGAAGTTAAAGTTACTATATTCACAGTTACTGTCACTATAATCACTCTAAAATGAATTTAAATACAGTGTTCTGGAATAAATTTAAATTCACTTTACTTACAGTGTTCTGGAGTGAATTAATATTTGCTGTATTTGCTGCAGAATCAATTTAAATGCACTGTAATTACAGTGTTCCAGAATCTATTTAAATACACTGTAATTACAGTGTTCCAGAATCAATTTAAATACACTGTAATTACAATGTTATAGAATAAATTTAAATGCACTGTAATTACACTGTTCCAGAATCTATTTAAGTGTCCTGTAATTACAGTGTTCCAGAATCAATTTAAATACACTGTAATTACAATGTTATAGAATAAATTTAAATGCACTGTAATTACACTGTTCCAGAATCTATTTAAGTGTCCTGTAATTACAGTGTTCCAGAATCAATTTAAATACACTGTAATTACAATGTTATAGAATAAATTTAAATGCACTGTAATTAGTTTTCCAGAATCAATTTAAATGCACTGTAATTACACTGTTCCAGAATCAATGTAAATCTCCTGTAATTAGTGTTACATAATCAATTTAAATACACTGTAATTACAATGTTATAGAATAAATTAAAATGCACTGTAATTACAGTGATGCAGAATTAATTTAAATGCACTCTAATTACAGTGTTCTGAAATCAATTTAAATGCACTGTAATTACAGTGATGCAGAATCAATTTAAATGCACTGTAATTACAGTGATGCAGAATCAATTTAAATGCACTGTATTGCATGTGAATTTATTTGTGGAATGAATTTAAATGTGGTCACAGTTTCTCAGAATGAGTTAAAAGTTACTGTATTCACAGTGATCTAAAATTCATTTGAATTTACTGAATGTACAGTGTTCCAGAATAATAGTGGCAGTGATAATGTGTCACTGTTTTTGTTGAGCATATTGAAGAACATTCATATTTCATGAATGCATGGGTGCACAAATAAACACACACACACACACACACACACACACACACAAACAGAAGGGTCCTCTTTCTGTCACTAGCCCACACACTGTAAGGATAAATTTGGAAATAAGACCTGATGATAGTAAAACAACAACAAATAGAGCTGCATATCCACTAGAGATATTTCCACATTTCAAATCTCTTAAAACGTGTATAACTGCTTTAAAGTTAAAAAATTTCTTGTGATGTTTATCCAGCCCTTTTTTAAAAATGAAGATTTTTAAACAGGGTTGTGCTTTAAGAGCAGTTTGCCAGTGAGAGACACTGTGGAATGTGGAAATGATGTTACTATATGAATGAAGCAAATTCAGTGCATTGCTTCTCTCAGTGTACTTTTGCTTTCTGTCATGCTTTGTTCTCTACAAATGTGCCTTGTACTCTGTAACTGGCTACGCTTGTCCTGCAGCTTGGAGACAGAGACCAAATCGATGAACACTGTGTACATGGTGTAAGAGCATGAGCTGGTCAGAGCAGACGGACATGTCTGGGGTCATAAGTATCAGTATTCTCAGAATGTAGGTCCTGAAACAGTGTTTGTCCTCTGTATCTTAAGGAATCTTAAGTTGCACGTAGTGTTATTTTAAAAAATAATCGAAGTCTCATATAACACATTTGCTTATTCCATAGTTATCAGCTAGTATTTTTCATGTCATATTGATCTGGCTATATAAAATAATGTTATGTCTTATCAACTTTTGCATCTTTGCATCATTGTATCATTTTTCCAGTTGACACCGAAAGATGTAAAGTGAAGATGAAATTACTTACCTAGCTTCATAAATCTGGATGATAGCAGGCTAACAAAACAGATCAACAAGCTGTTCAAACAGCTGCTTGTTTGTTTCAGCTGGCTTACTAGCTAGCAACTTAAAAGAATTCACACCAGCTTTTTAGAAATGTTATTTAAGCTTCACAAAGTTTGCCCTTCCTGGATTGAGGCTTTGGTGTGGCGGAAAGACTAGTGTGGTCTAGGGATCTTTAGTGCTAAGTCTTCTGGAGCAATATGCTCCTGGTAGGGTCTCCCAAGATGAACAGGTCTGGAGTGAAGAGCCAGACTAACCCGATCAAAAATTCCCTATGATCAATGGACACAATATATCATGTACCATGCCCGGGAGAGGGATACTGGGGCCTACCCCTGGAGCCAGGCGTGGGAGTGGTGTGCCTCGGCGAGCACCTGGTGGCCAGGCAGCCCACGTAACGCAGCCAGGTTAAGCCTGACAAGGAAACATGGGGGGACCATGTGGGTCCACCACTCACAAGGTTCAGTGTGGGGGACCAGTGCAGTGAATTACAGGCAGTGGGAGATGGCGGGGAGGTCCTTTACGGCATGGACCCCTGCAGTGGAAACTCTCGGCACGTGGAACATTGGAGCCGGAGCATGTGCAGGAGGTTGACGGCTCGGAACCCCCCAGAACTTGTATCATATGTATCAATGTTCATTAAATATTTCCTGTTTGGCTTGACATAATACATATATATATAATATGTAATACCTGCTCAAACTTTTTGGCAGCAATACCCTTAACCCTCTGGAGTCCACAAACTCACCCACATGTTAAATTCTCTGTTTCTATATCTGTTTCTCTATCTTTGTGATAATACAGTGCAGAAATGAGGTTCAAACATTTCCTGAATCTGTAGAGTCGCACTTTCCTTTCCATTCCATTCCATCACGAGATCGTGCGTGACTCATATCTGGAGTTATGAGGCTATGAAACGGGGCCGAGATGCACGTCAGCCATATTCTTTGGATGTCTGGTGTGAACGGCTCTCTTGAGGCTATTCCTCAGCACCTCTATTGGGTTAAGGTCTTGGCTCTGACCGGACCACTCCATATGCCATTTGTATGAATGGAGATTAGCTGGTTAACCAGTTCCAATGATTCCTTCAAGCTTTAGCTGTTATTCTGGGGTCTTTTTACTTCATTTACTGCATTGAGCAGTCTGTGTCATGCCTTGGGAATGATCTTGGCTGGGCACCCAGGATCTAGGGAGAGTAGACCCAGCGCTAAATCGTCTCTGTTTTTAGACAGTCGAAGGGTTTTGTTGCAAAACACATTTAAGCCGGTTGAAGAATTTTCATTTTTTTCCATGATATTGGTTGTTGGAAGTAGGCTTTACACAGGCAATATGTATGCTATATTGTTATCAATACCACATTTATTAGAGATATTAGAGATCAGCCTTTTTTTAATGAAACCCTTCAGTTTGTCTAACTGTGGACTGATGAATAACTAAACTCTTTGAGATTACTTTTTAACTCTTTCTAGCTTGATGCAAATCAACAGTGATTGGTTTTAGGTCTTCTGAGATCTTTTTTTTGCGAGGCATGGTTCACATCAGTGGATGCTCCTTGTCAGTCGCAAATTAAAAATGTTTGAGTGCTTTTATAAGTCACAGTAGCTCCAACCCACACCTCCAATCTCATTTAATAGATTGTACTCCTGACTCCAATTAGCTTTTGTTGAAGTCATTAGCCTAGGGGTTCACATCCCTTTTCCAGCCTGCACTGTGAATGTTTGAATGATGCATTCACTGTGAGAACAATGCATTATTATAAATCATATCATAAATATTTGTAAATATTTTGTAACTTAGATGAAGACCAGAGCATGTTTTAAGACATGTTAAATAAATATTATATAAAGATAATGCCAAAGGGTTCACATACTTATTCTTGACATTGTAATTGAAAAAGCTTACTCAACTGGTCTTATTGGATAATTTTACTTATCCTCATCTGATAAAGTATGTTTAAAAAAAAAAGTGTACATATGTGAAGTATGTAAAAGAGCGGTTGAGCTCTTACAGGTTCTAACAGGGATGTATCAGGGAGATCTAAGGCACTCCACAGTACTATGCTTGTTACACGTTAATAAATGCACTTAATCAGTGTTTTAAAATGATAATGTAATTGTGTTCTAGTGTTACTGTACTGCTCATGAATGTGCCATGAATGCTTCATGTGCATGTAGTTCCTGTAACGCATTATCCACAACAATTGACTACTAGTTGATTAAATTTCTTCAACCGACCACTAAACAACCACAAAATACAGGTGTCAATTTAAACCTGTTCAGCCTTCCCTGTTCTCTATGTCTGTGTTGTATGTATCTGCTGATGTTTACTGTAAATAACTGTAGAATGTGCCAAAATGTAAGAATATGACTGAGTGGAATCTGTTCTTATCTCTCAGGGAGTTTCACCTGAGTTACATTTCAGTGCAATGTAATGTAAACCCACCACACTAAACAAACAAAAATATTTCATCTAAAATATTGAGAAGCAAACATGTTGTTTTACAAACTTTTTTTGCTGGTAGAAGAACATTGAACAAGAGCATTGTTCCAAATGATGATAAAGCCAGTAGAGGCACAGACAATAACAGTCTTAACCCTTGTGTGGTGTTGATGTTTTTGTTACTCAGTGGTCTGGTGGACCCACTATAACACATACAGCCATAGAGATTTATGTAAAAATACCAGATGTTTAAAGTATCACAAGTGGTCAGCGTAGAGTTCTCCTTTAGCAGCTGTAGCCAGTCAGCAGCCTATCCATGTTGTCCATTCTCACACACACACGCGCGCACACACACACACACACACAGACAAACACTAACAGCAGGCCATGTAGGAGGAGAACAGAGTGAAGAACACAGCATTTCCACACTTTTATTTCCCACAGGTTCACCCAACACCACATGTGTAATATAAATGTGTGGGGGGAGAACAGAGTGAAATTACTGGAAATATGTTATTTTATATGTTCTTTACAGAAAAAAGAGAAAAGGCCAAGGAATCTGGGGTTGAAATAACAATAAATTGCATCATTCTTTTCTTTTGGTAAACATTGAAAACGGGTCCCACATACCTGAACACCACACAAGGATTAACTATTACATATTATTGACAAATGCTGTCACCGGACTTGGAACAATGTCCTTTCCTATTTTTCTCTCTTTTTTTGAATGAAAATTGAAAAAGAAGAAAGCAGAAACAAATTTGTCTGAATATCTCTGGTGAAATCTTTTTTGGGGGGTGGAGAGGTGGGGAAGGGCCTCGGGGCTGTGCATATGATAAAGCATGTTAAAAAAACAATATGTATGTGAAATTATGTAAAAAATGAGTGAAAGCGGTGGGAAAGTGTTAAGATATTTGTAAATTAAGCTTCTGCTTTGTTTAGAAAGTGACAGACTGAGTGACCCCGGTTTGGTAAATGTATTTTGGCAATGAGGAATAACTGTAACACTGCGTAAAGTTGATCAGGGCAAGCACTCAAATAACATCTGACCAGCAGCGATCCTGTGGTCAGGACTCTGATAAGTAGGATAGTGGGGGGCTGATGAATTGTGCAGGAACAGATGGGCTACAGTTTGTAATTGTTCATTTGGCTGGTCAGTCCTTTTCCTGGAACATATGAATGAGTGCTGTTGTTGAAGAATGGTCTACATTAGAGACATAATGTCCATAAATCACAGATCATTATGTTCTGATATCACATTGTGTTATATTGTTTTGGAGTTTTTCACGGCCGTGTGAAAATAGGGTTCTCTGATTTAGTGTGTTGTGTTTGTCTCCTATCCTGGCTGACTTTCAAGTGGATATTTACTGTTTCATTACAGCAGTAGGCTATTGTTGAAGAGAGAATACACTTGGGCTTCTTACCTCTCTCTCTCTCTCTCTCTCTCTCTCTCTCTCTCTCTCTCTCAGTAATCAACACATTTTTATCACTGCACTTCTGATCTACTCTCTTTCATTCATTCTCTCCCAGATTGTCTCATTTCTGTTATGGCCCTCAATCAAATATTTGTACAATTTCCCTCTAAATTTCTCAGAGATGGGATGTCACAGGATACAAGTACTTGGAATGCATATTCAGAATACAGAAATGAAGTATCTACAGTTCATGTTTTCAAAAGGCTGTTTTCTGAATACTTTTTAATACTAATATTTTTAGAAAACTTACCCACTAAAGTAAAAAAAGACACTTTTAACTCTTGTTTAAGGTAAATCACACTGTGTTCAGTAAACATGCTCCTCACACAGACTCTAAAGAGAAACTGTACAAACACTGAAGTTCCTGCTAAAACCTGAGTAGACTGATAAATCACTGAGTATTCGGTTATTTATCTCAGTGTTACTGATTTTTTTATGGACGATTGAGTTTTCATCCTTGCCCATGAGTCACAGAGATGTCTTTAGATTCCTTGAATCTTTTGATATTTTGCACCAATTTAAATAAAATAAATAAGAAAATGTATAAACTAAAATGAAGTACCTAAAATAATGAAAATAAGACAATGATAGCAAAAATCAAGTAAAACAGTGTCAGGCAGAGTGGAGGTAGTTAGAAAGTAGAAGTTTAAAATGACCCAGCGAGCTGAGCTTTAGTGTTTCCTCTAGTTCTAGTTTGCTGGTGCTGTAACTAAAGGCGGATTTTCCCAGATCAGTAAAAACTTTCGGTACCTGGCATGTGATCCAGTCTCTGGAGTGAGTCTGATAATTACCATTATTTATAGACGTCATTGAGGAAATATATGCTGGCATATGGCTGGAGAGTGTTGTGTGTATATATAGTCCATTGTCAGTCTTCAAAATCCCCTGAGCAGACAGTACGTGACTGAAGTGCCCTCGAGCAAGGCACCTAACCCCCAACTGCTCCCTGGGTGCCTTGAATAGGGCTGCCCACTGCTCTGGGCAAGTGTGCTCACTGCCCCCTAGTGTGTGTGCTTTCACTAGTGTGTATAAGATAAGATAAGATAAGATAAGATAATCCTTTATTAATCCCACAACGGGGAAATTTGCGGTGTTACAGCAGCACAGAAGACAGAGCAGCAGGAAATATACAAACAATATATAAAATAGAATAAACAATAAAAATATAAAGTTGTGGTGTTTCACTGCACAGATGGGTTAGAGTATGGAGGTGAAAATTTCCCTGTTGTGAGATTAATAAGGGTCACTTAATAATTATTTAATAGTAATAAAGTTTTTCTCTCTCTTTCTTTCTCTTAGCTGTTTACCTCTGCAAACGAACAATGCAAAACAAAGCCAGGCTGGAGCTTGCTGACTACGAGGCTGTAAGCATCGTCCCTTTTCCCTGTATTACTCCTACACTCCCACTCTTCATCACTTTATTGTGTATTAATGGGCCTACGCTCAGAGATAATGTAATGCATTTCTCTTTGTTTATTCCTTTCAGATATTAAAGAGTGCTGCATGTTGCGAATTTTAATTGTAGCCTTTCTTCTTAGTTGCACTTGTAAGCTGGGGTCTGACTTAGCTGGCAGAAATTTGGAATACAATATAGGTCTTATTACATATGATTACAAGTGTGGGTAATTACTAGTAAGAGTCTCCTCACTGACAATGCACTATCAAAGTTCAATTAGGAGGGTGTGAACATGAGCCTGTGTGTGTGTGTGTGCTTTCAGGAGAGTTTAGCGCGGCTACAGAGGGCTTTTGCACGGAAATGGGAGTTTATATTTATGCAAGCAGAAGCACAAGCTAAGTGAGTATTCATGGCCCAGAGGCGAACGCACTCACACGGTATGGGAGAATTCACAGCAGGACCACTGCATTGCAGAGACTCAGAATGCAAAACACTGAAGAACTGAAATATTCTACATTTTTCACACAGTATGGTCCAAACTTCACAGCTGATGCGTACATATGAAGGTTATAGGGCATCAACTCATCACAGGAGAGAGAGCTTAATATGTACGTACAGTACACCTACATTAGTTAGTACTGTCCAAAAGTCAGACACTAAAGTTTCATTTATTTTATTTAAAGTCAAAATGGCCATTAAGTACAAGTTATTTATTCTTTAGTTTCAAGAAAAAGTCAGAAAACATTTATTTATTATACTTATTAAATCTATAAATTATACAGAAGCCTCAACAACTAAATATTGTAGTAATTCCACCCTTTGCCTTTATTACAGCTTCCATTCTTTTCAGGAGACTCACTTTCTTTTTTTTTAAAGAAATCTGCAGGGATATTTTTCAACACCTTCAAAGTTCAGTCTAAGAAGTTGGTTGAATTTTTTAGCTTCTCACAATCCAAGTAATTCCAAACACATGCAGGGATTCAGTCACGTTGAGTTGAGGTCTGGGGCCAGATTCACAAAAGTGTCTTAAGAAAGAAAATCTTCTTAAATGTGTGTTTTTTCTTAACTTCGTTCTTAAAGAAAAAAGTTATGAAAAATGTTATTCTTCAATTTACATGTTAAGAATTCTCTTATTTTCTTTTCTTAACTATTGTCTCAGGAATAGTTCTAAGAACAAGTGGTATTGTTGAAAATATCATGTTTTTAAATGGTTTCCTAACCTTACGACAGTCTCACACCTGTCTTAGGCTGTAAGAGTCGACAAAGTAAGCATCTAAATTTATTAGTTTATCTATTCCTGCCCGTCCTCATCTCTTTCTTTCCGCCATCACCCCACAATTATTGTATTTTCCAAGGAGGATTTTTTTTTTCCTGTTGGCTGTTTCTTCCACCATCTTCCACTAGTTCTTGTTTGCTATTTTTTGTAACATTTATTTTAATGTTTTTCCTCCATTTTGCTCCTCTGAGCAGTTTTACCTAATAACGGAAATAACAGTTAATACAAATTCATAATGTATCTTGCATCTTTTATGGTACATGGTAAAATGCAACATTGCCTACAAAAGAAAACAATGTACATTTTTTAAGAAAATCTTAAGAAAATGATAAAGAAAATGATAAAGATCAAGAGAATATTTGAGAACTTATGTTTTTTTTGAGAATTGCATTTAAGAACATTCTTATGAACGTCTTACTGTTTGTGTTTGTCTTAAGAACCATCTGGTGTGTCTTAAGAACTGGTGTGGCCAGTTCATTGTTCTGAGCTTCTGTGTTTGATGTGTCCGTCTCCTTTTCTCATTAAAAGCTTCTTGACAGCTACACATCCTTTCAGACCCATAGCGCTGAGTCATCTTCTCACAGTGGAAGGATGGACAGAAACACTTGTGGATGTTTTCAGATCTGAAGCAGCTTGATTTTCTCCTCTCTCTCAGAGATGAAAGCTTTAAGTGCTGTTTATCTGAGGAGGTCAGTTTAGGTGGTCTACCAGGTCTTCTGAGAAGTCCCATCTTTTCTAAATCTTTGATATTCCCAATCCTTATGCAAGTGGGATGTCTTATATCTTATCTCCTCAGAAAAATTAATAACTTGTACTTAATGACCATTTTGACAGGAAATTGAATAAACGAAGGGGGACTTTTGCACAGAACTGTAGGTTTGACGATCCAAAGTATCAGTAAAACATATACGTCCAAAACCACATGCTACACATACTAAACTAATGAATGTCCAATGTAGTACTAATGGTGGTTACGTGCATCTTGCTGCACAGTTTATCTGCCCCCTTCTATCCCATTCATCATTGGTCAGTTCCTGACCCCAGGACCACTGTTGTTCAGATATCATTTGGGTGGTGGATCATTCTTAGCACAGCAGTAACACTGGCATGGTAATGTGTGTGGTGTGGCGCGAGTGTATCAGATACAGCGGCGTTGATGGAGTTTTATGAACTGAACTGACCACTGATGAAGGGCTAGAGAGTGGCTAACACAATTATGCAACAAAATATGGTCTCTAACTTTACACCAGCGGAGCTTCATGGTTGTTATCCCTCCACTGTGCCAGATTGTCTGCCGTCTTTGTTACGTTTCTTTTGTTTTCCTGCACCCAGGGTCGACAAGAAGCGAGACAAAATCGAGCGGAAGATCCTGGACAGTCAGGAGCGGGCGTTTTGGGACGTGCACAGACCCGTGGTGAGCTGCTGCTTCATTTCACTTCCAGCTGTTCAGGTCCCATTTCCCTAAAGCACTGCGGTGTTATGATACGATTAGCAGTTCAAAGTGATCCTCTCTCTGACGCCTTATGGTGCTCTTTGAGCTACGATGCTTTTGGGTAACTCAGCCTGAGTCTGTACCAGGTTAATCCCTTTAAGCAGTAGACATCTATTAGTGATATATAAAATTAATACAAATGAATAGAAATTGTCACTTCATTTTGAAAGTCCTTTATTGACTACAGATGCTTGAACTGTTAGGTGAAGCTTTAGGGCTAGAATTAGGTTCAGTTGCGTTTAATAGATATTTAGTTGAAAGTTAAAGAGAAAGAGAGCATCTGCTCAGCATCTACAGTCGATTCTCAAAATATTATGCTACCATATAAAATATTCAGTAACTATCAAAGAGCCATTCTAGCTGGACTTTGTGTTCCCTGAGGAGGTACTGTGATTTGAGAAGTCAAAATTGTGGCAGTCACAATTGTGGAGTGATATTAATCCAGTATGAATCTGCAGTGTGTGTAGTTTTACAGTCTGACAGTAATAATTGTGGAGCGATTTTAATCCAGTATGAATCTGCAGTGTGTGTAGTTTTTACAGTCTGACAGTAATAATTGTGGAGCGATTTTAATCCAGTATGAATCTGCAGTGTGTGTAGTTTTACAGTCTGACAGTAATAATTGTGGAGCGATTTTAATCCAGTCTGAATCTGCAGTGTGTGTAGTTTTACAGTCTGACATTAATAACTGTGAAGTGATTTTAATCCAGTATGAATCTGCAGTGTGTGTAGTTTTTACAGTCTGACAGTAATAATTGTGGAGTGATTTTAATCCAGTATGAATCTGCAGTGTGTGTAGTTTTTACAGTCTGACTGTAACAATTGTGGAGTGATTTTAATCCAGTATGAATCTGCAGTGTGTGTAGTTTTTACAGTCTGACAGTAATAATTGTGGAGTGATTTTAATCCAGTATGAATCTGCAGTGTGTGTAGTTTTTACAGTCTGACTGTAATAATTGTGGAATGATTTTAATCCAGTATGAATCTGCAGTGTGTGTAGTTTTACAGTCTGACGGTAATAATTGTTGAGTGATTTTAATCCAGTATGAATCTGCAGTCTGTGTAGTTTTTACAGTCTGACGGTAATAATTGTGGAGCGATTTTAATCCAGTCTGAATCTGCAGTGTGTGTAGTTTTACAGTCTGACATTAATAACTGTGAAGTGATTTTAATCCAGTATGAATCTGCAGTGTGTGTAGTTTTACAGTCTGACATTAATAACTGTGAAGTGATTTTAATCCAGTATGAATCTGCAGTGTGTGTAGTTTTTACAGTCTGACTGTAATAATTGTGGAGTGATTTTAATCCAGTATGAATCTGCAGCGTGTGTAGTTTTTTACAGTCTGACAGTGATAATTGTGGAGTGATATTAATCCAGTATGAATATGCAGCGTGTGTGGTTTTTACAGTCTGACAGTGATAATTGTGGAGTGATATTAATCCAGTATGAATCTGCAGTGTGTGTAGTGTTTACAGTCTGACGTTAATAACTGTGGAGTGATTTTAATCCAGTATGACTCTGCAGTGTGTGTAGTTTTACAGTCTGACAGTAATAATTGTGGAGTGATTTTAATCCAGTATGAATCTGCAGCGTGTGTAGTTTTTACAGTCTGGAGCAATAACTGTAATATATAGTAATAATAGCAGTGATTGACAGAGCATTAAGAAAAATTGAAGCAGTCAATTCATATGTTGAGAAAAGAGACAGTATTAGTTAAAGCATGAGGGAGTTGGGGTGACTTTTGAGGAGCTCAGAAATGAGCATGTATTAATATGAGACTTTTTTAATGAATAAAAGAGCCTATGCAAATTAATCTAATTAAGAGTGAAGTTTTTAATGAATGGAAGGGCCTATGTAAATTAGTTCTAATTAGGCTAGGACCTTTCAGTGAGTGAATATAATGAATATAAATTAATCTAATTAAACATGTTTTGTATATATCTCTTTATTCATTTTTAGGTGTGAGTGAGTGCATGTGTGTTTGTATGTTGACGTACTGCTTGAGGAATGATCATTTCCTTGACCCATATTAACCTCTGATACTGAACTGCTATTGATTTACCACACCACTGTCATTGCTCATGATTAATATTAATAGACAATGCATAATAATAGACTGAATCGTTCAGACATATTTCACTCATGCATATGTCTATGTTACTGTACATATTGCCGGGATTGGAGGAAAACCCTGAAGTTATCACATCGGAAGTGATAACTTTACAGGAAAAGGACGAAACCTACTTTACATTTAATGTAAGTCAATGGAACCAGGATTTTTTTTGTAAGTCAGTTTGGGCCGTTTCTTTCTGGTCCATCCTTCATGAACTTTGCACACAATGTTAAGGGTGACAGGCATTTTCAAATTATGTCAAAAACTGAAAAACAACAAAAATGGAGATAAAAGGTTTTATTCTGACAACAGTGATATGCATGCTTTTATAAAAAAAAGACTTCTGATATATCTACTTATTTATTTACTTAATTATTCACTTACTTTCCTCATTTTTTGTACACGACCTGCCCAAAAGTATCCAGACAGCACTTCTAATTACTGAATTCAGCTACTTTAAGGTGCATCTGTAACTGATACAGGTGTTCAATTATGCACACACAGCTTGTATAATCTCCATAGAAGGCAATATCCATTAGAATGGGACACCGGAGCAAGCCGCACATGAGCCTAAAGTCACCATGCCCAATGCCAACACTGCAAAAAGTGGCATCTTGTTAAGTACATTTATCTTAAATATAGTCAATAAATCTAATATTTCTCCTGTTGAGATTGTTGCAAGCTTAAACTAAGATTATTTTATTTTTTTTTTTAGAGACTGTTTACTTGTTTTAGGTCATTTTATTGGGAAAAAATGATCTCACTATACTGGCAGATAATTTTGCTGGTTTCAAGCACATTTTTTTAAAACAAGCAAAATTATCTGCCAATATAGTGACATTATTAAGTAAGATTATGTTACTTAAAACAAGTAAACTTGCAACAATCTCAACAGGAGAAATATTATATTTATTGATTAGATTTAAGATAATTTTACTTGACAAGATACCATTTTTTGCAGTGAGGCATCAGCTAGAAGAGTATAAACCACCCAGCACTGGGCTGTGGAGCAGTAGGACTGTGTCCTCTGGAGTGATGGAGCTCCATCCAGAACTTTTGGGATGAGTTGAAGTGGCATTTCTGATCCAACATGAGTACCTGACCTCACTAATGCTGTTGTTCATGCTGTTGATAATGTTGCCTTCATTACTGACCATTACAATTACTGATAACTCAAATAGTACAAATTGTGACAACACCTCTCTCTCTCTCTCTCTCTCTCTCTCTCTCTCTCTCTCTCTCTCTCTCACTCTCTCCTCTCTCTCTCTCACTCTGACCCTGTCAATCTGGGGGGGGGTCTCCTCTCTCTCATTTCCTGATTAACACTCTGTGGGTTAGGCAGAACACACTCTCTGCTGTCTCTCCCATCAAGCTCTCACACACTATCAGAGATGACAGACTGAGCGTGTGCAGCAGGGTCTCTGATGAGTGTGAGTTATGTATTGAATTGTAATTTGATTGTATGGATGTTTCTCAGTAGACTCCACATGCAGGCTCTGATCCTCCCGCGAGAGACAGTCAGAATCTTGATTAGGGTTTTTAGACAGGACATAAGCTGAATCACTTACTTTATCTGTTTCATTCATCCATCCGTCTGTATATCACTTCATTAATATGTTTATCTGTTCATCTCTTCGTTCACTTATCCATCATCCATGGGCAGATATTTTATTTCACTCTTGGAAAATGAACAGAAAAAATTCTCAAGAGCAGTTCCTGAAGGGGGCACCAAAGAGGATTCAGGGCATAGATATAAATGTGTAGATGCTGTGTTGTCTGTAGTTCTCTATCTGAGGTGATGCGTCTGCATGTCCACCATGTTTTGAGAGGTCAAGATCCGCTTGTAAACAAATACATGTCTACTGAGATAAAGGTTCACATACTTTTGCCATTCACAGATATGTAATGTAGAATAATTTTCCTCAATAAATACATCACCATTTCCAAAAAAGTTGGGACGCTGTGCAAAATGTGAATAAAAATAGAATGCAATGATATGCAAATCATGTTAACCATATTTGTAAAGGAAAATATTACAAAGACAACATATCAAATGTTGGAACTGAGAAATTTTATTGTTCTTTGAAAAATATATGCCCATTTTGAATTTGATGCCAACAACACGTTCCAAAAAAGTTGGGACGGGGGCCTGTTCACCACTGTGTTTCATCACCTCTTCTTTTAACAACACTCTGTAAGTGTTTGGGAACTGAGGAGACACTGCTGTAGTTATGAAAGTGAAATGTTTTCCTGTTCTTGTTTCATATAGGATTTCAGCTGCTCAAGAGTTTGGGGGCTGATTTGTTGTATTTTTCATTTCATAACCCTCCAAATGTTTTCAGTGGGTGACAGGTCTGGACTGCAGGCAGGGCAATTTATCACCCGGACTCTTTTAAAACGGAGCAATGTTGTTGTAATACATGCAGAATATGGTTTTACATTGTCTTGCTGAAATAATCAAGGCCTTCCCCTAAAAAGACATCATCTGGATGGCAGCATATGTTGCCAAACATGTATATATCATTCAGCATTAATGGTGCCTTCACAGATGTGCATGTCACCCATGCCATGTGCACTAATGCCCCCCACACCATCATAAATACTGGCTTTTGAACTGTGCACTGATAACAAGCTGAGTGGTCTTTAGTCCAGAGGACACAGTGTCCATGATTTCCAAAAAGAATTTCAAATTTTGATTTGTCAGACCACAGGACACTTTTCCACTTCATCTCAGTCCATTTTAAATGAGCTCGGGCCCAGAGAAGGTGGCAGCACTTCTGGATCCTGTTAATATATGATTTCTTCTTTGCATTTTAGAGTTTTAACTTGCATTTGTGGATGCACTGATGAACAGTTACACCAGCAAGTTCTCTATGCTTCACCAACCACGTAATCATACATAAGCATCGCACAAACATGACTGTTGATCGCTACGTTCTCTCCATTATATAATCCTATCCCACATTCTGAGTGCAATATTCTTGAAATTCTTAAACCTGCTGCTCTGCAATGGTACTGAATACTGTCAGTCAGTAATGTTGACCGACAAAATGGTAGCGCTGTTGACGTGCCTGGCTGAGCCCAACATGCCATCTATGGTTTGGGGATGGTAGGCAGTGGACCAAACCACTGTGAGGCATACGAAGGGGGTGCCATCTTTTGGAACTTAAAAACAAATTGTTTAGTGTCTATAATTGGCACAAGTTCTTTCAATGCATATTATTATAGTATTTAAAAATATATTTAGAGTGAGATATTGAGGCGGATCCCTTCTCTATCTGAAATTTCCACCTATGCCATCATCCATCTGTTCATGCACCCGTCCATCCCTTCATTCGTTTTGTTAATTCCATTCTTCCATCCTTCTATTCATGCTGTTCTCTACGGAAGTCTGGAATGCCGTGAGCTGTTGCTATAATTTTCTGGAGCGTTTTCTTGAGAAAATGAGTTAATTATTGTGATCTCAAGATAATTAACTCATTATCCCAAGGCCACAATACAATTGACTCGTAATCTCAAGATAACTTTATCTCAAGATAACAACGTTTGTTACCTCAAGACAACAAGATAACTAATTCATCATTTCAAGATTAACTTATCTCAAGATAACTACTTTTGTTATCTCGAGATAACAAGATAGTTAACACGTTATCTCAAGATAAAAATCCAGAAAACTATAACTACCTTATGGCGCCTCTGGGCTATGGAGCCCAGCTGGTGACATCCTGTATAAATAAAAATAATGCGTGGCCACAACTTAGTAAGGCGTGGGAATGAGATGATTAAGTCATGGCCACGACTTAGTGAAGCATGGGAATGAGATCCTAATGCATGGCCACCATGTAGTAAGGCGTGGGAACGAGATCCTAATGCATGGCCAAGCCGTGATCTCATTCCCATGCCTTACCAAGTCGTGGCTATGCATAAGGATCTTGTTCCTACGCGTTAATAAGGCGTGGCCACGCATTATTTTTATTTATACAGGATGTCACCAGCAGAGCTCCGTATTGGGCTTCTGTATCTCTCCTTCCTGTTTTTATTACATCTCATACATTGGTCATTTATTTCTGTCCCAGTTCAGCAGAATATCAGCAACATGCTCTGTTCCTCTGTGTGTGTGTGTGTGTGTGTGTGTTATATATATATATATATATATATATATATATAATATATATATATATATATATATAGATATAGTATATAGCATGTGTGTGCTATCATGATGCTCTAAGAGGTGTGATATATAACTCAGAGAAATCTGTCACTGTTGGTTTCTGTCCAGAGAGTGCCATGATTTAATCACAGAGAGAGAGAGAGAGAGAGAGAGACTACATGCACTCACTAGAACATTTCTCATTCAGACAGTATGATGACACTTCATTTAAAATCTCAGTCACAGAGAGAGAGAGAGAGATTAGAGACATGAACTGTTTTATTCAAACACAAAAGACGAGCTGAGCTTCTGTATCTCTTTCTCCATTCACACAAATCACAAAACATGGGCCGTTGTTGTATCTGATAATAGAGTTGGGTTGATAACTTGTTTGGGGATGTAGTTGGGTTTGTGTTTGTGATTGGGTGCTGTGTCTTTCTAAGGAATGCCAACATGAGATTGAGGTTGAGATTGTGTATGTCGATAAGGTCAGGCGTTGGATGGGGGAGTGGGGTGGACAGGTGGTGGGGGGGGTATGGCAAATATCTCTCAGAGACCTATACATAATGACAATGAGAGAGAAGAATTCAATGTCAGTCTAAAGTTTGGAGGACACGCTTTCCAAATAAGTTTAATAATGATGTTTTCATTGTTAATTCTCAATATTTTGCATAATAAGTAGAAAATTGTTTAGGTCTGGAGAAACTGCAAAACTGATGAGCATCCAAAATGTTGTGCTTTTGTCATGTTTATCATTGTTTATTGTATTAATAAGAGTGTTTATTGGTGTTCATTAGTGCTGTCCCAGTCCAATCCAGTGGTTCGGAATTGGAACCAATCCAGGCATATTTAAGTGGACCAAGTATTTTAGAATCTAACAAAGCACTTTAACCCTTTTCACTGCAGCCATAAACCACAATATCCACCTGTTGTAGAGCTCCCTCCATTGAGCTTTGTGTATTTTTCCTCAGTAATATTAATAGAGCATACTTCATTGGAAATGGTCATGATTGACGAAAACAGAAGAAAACTTCATTTTTGTCTTTACAGGTGAACAAGCAAGTTAGCATTTTAAAAAGTATTTTTATTGTCATTAAATGCTATTTTTTATATGAAGAAAGCTGCAGCTGTGTCTGTTTCATCTCAGCACGGCCATCTTTGTAGACACACCCACCCCCTTTCACCCTCATTGCTCCCTAGCAGCTCAACGCAGGGTCACAACATTTCACACACAGGTGTTTTCACACCTGAAAGTTCAGACCAAGGTTCATGTTTTTGTGACATTGTATACATTTGATACACATAGTTTTTGGTTCCACATTGCGGTTTAGTTAGTGCACTAAAGAGCTTTGCATGACACACACCTACGTCCTGTCATCATCACCTACGTGGACAGGGTATCCCTGTTTTTAACATTGAGTAGTTTGTAGAGGAGCGTCTAACGTCAGCATGTATGTCAAGGTGGGTAGGTGGGTAGAAAAATGAATATTCTCTCTCTTCATCTCAGAAAATAAAGGTATAAGTTTCGATATTTTTATGCATTTTTCCAAGTTGACTTTTGACTTTTTCATTGGACCAAATTACAATTACACATTTTGCCTCTCCCCGTTCTTTTTCTTCTTCTGTTGTTTAACCCCGACCCCAAACGTTCCAGGTTTATTTTACACAAAGCCGTATTATTCAGTAACTACAGGGACTTCATTGCAAACTAGAGAGAGAGAGACTACATGCACTCACTAGAACATTTCTCATTCAGACAGTATGATGACACATTTAACTACAGGGACTTCATTGCAAACTAATGGAGTTATCCTTAGGTTGTAAAAGTGTGTACTAAAACTTTGGGCCTGCCAGCGGCCCATGGCTCATTAAGGGGTTAATAGGTGATGATAGCCTGCCTCAACTTCCTGTTATCCGAAAGTCCAAAAAAGTGTTCGTCAAGTGTTGGCCCATCCAAAAAAGTGTTTTCACACTGCAAACGAAGTGCACCATGGTTCAGTTTGATTCAAGACTACCTCTTTTGGTTTGACCAAATTTTGGCCCTTTGGTCCAGACTGTGATCTGAGGCACCTTTTACACCTGCTGTTTTGGTTCGGACCAAACTGAACAGTCAGAAGGTCTGGATCAAACATGGTAGGTGTGAAAGCACCCACAGAGAGTCAACAGTGTCCTACTTAATCTGATAGCAGTTACAAGGAAAAAAAATATTTGATTGTTTTTTGCTGCTGTCAAAACAAAACCTCATGTCATTTTTCAGTTTTTTACATAATTTGAAAATGCCTGTTGCTCTTTACATTGTGTGTAAATTTCATGATGAATGGACCAAAAGAAATGGGCCAAAATTACTTGGAAAAAAAAGTCTGGTTCTATTGACATTAAAAGTAAGGTATGTTTTTTCCTTCTTCTGTAAAGCTATCATTTTGGAGATACAAGGTTTTTCGACAGCAGCGATTTATTAAACTTATTTATTATATCTAAGTTGAGGCATTAGAGGGCCTCCAGAAATGGGCTACATGTCTGAAGTGTGGAACTGTTTTAAAGTGGAAAATAAAAACTACTATCTGCAGTCCTGGTGTTATATATATATATATAAAATGAATAATAATAATATATAAAAAAATACAAAAAAAATCTCTCATCCTGGTCTTTAAAATGTTCGACATTTTTTTTTGTTCGTGTGAGATGTACGACAAACATTCAGTACAAATGTTCTGAATTTTGACTAATTTTTTCTGGTTAGCTAAACAGACTACATTAAAAGCATCACCATCAGAGTATGACATATGAGCATCAGAGCAATTCTTTTTGGCTGCTAGTGTACGTTGATGGTCATTTGTTGTGTTATCAGTTGGACGAGCCCTCTGTTCATGTCTTGTCCTTGCTGCACAGTCAGACTGGTAATAAACCACTAATTCACACTGAAATCTGAGCCAAAGCAATCGGCCTCCCCGAATCTTGAAGTGAGTCAGCTGTCTCTTCTTGTTTATTTACCCACAAATCTGAGCGTGAATCAGGTCAGCCATTCTTTTTGTTCTGTGCCTGAATCTGCATCTCAAAGAGAGCCGAGCATCTTGCGGTTGATTTTGTTTGCCTGTGAATAACAGAATGTGACTCGGATTAACGATTCGTTATTTCTCTGATCATCTGCAGCCCGGCTGTGTGAATACGACGGAAGCCGACATCAAAAAATCCTCCAGGATGAAACAGCCTCACAAAACGCGGAAGGTAAACTTTGGTGGTGGGGCATGACACTGAACACAGGGCTCTACTTCTAGAGCTCTTTAATACTGCTTTGGCAATGAACACTGTATGTGAAAACTGCCCAAAGTGGGGCCTGTGGGACTTTATACAACTTCTTTTTTCTAATTTTTCTTTAAAAACCTTAGTTTTAAATAATTTTCGTAATAAAACATATAGTGTAATGTTATAAAATAAAATTGGCAACACTTAACTTGAATCTTTCTACCTAACATTGTCATATCTATGCCATAAACCTGTCATGGCAGATGTGATTTGTGGTTTTGTTCATTAATATTCCAGTGTCCTATTACCATTCCTGGTAATTTTCATGACAGGTGCCATGATATCAGTCAGGATAACTTATGTTGGATGCTAATTTTTTGCTGTGTACTGTATTTAGCCTTCTTGACATCAAACATTATTACATCTGTCATGCCAGTTAACAGTAATAACACCACTGTGGAGGCCACTGTACACCAGATGCACCACGCTGCATCACACAGTGTCAAAAATTCAGAACTTGTTTTTAACGAAGGTACAGCACACTGGAGCTGGATGACTCTGAGCACTGTTCAGTTTCATAGTGTCACAGTGGGCCAGTCAGCATTTTATCATTACTATATTATAATAAAGCCATATCGGGACCACAGAAGCCATAGTAGATGAAATTTTGTACAAAGAAAAGCCTTTAGATAAACAGACAAATGCTAAACTTTTCAATTCTAAATGTAATCTTTCAACTCAAAAATCCAAGTTTGTGAACAGGTAGTAAACTGAAACCAAGCGTGACAAATGATCATGAAAGTTTTCATCAAATTTATACGACTAGAATGAAACAATAAACTTGAACTTGTTTATCGGTGCACTCACTGTGCTGCATTCTTTTATAGCAATGCTCTGAAATGTGATGCTACGCGACGCCGCTTGTACACAATGGCCTTTATCTTATTGAACAGTATCCATCATGACATCTACCATGACATGTTTATGATGTGGTTATGTCACTTTTATGTAGCAGAGTTCAAGTAAAGTGTTGCAATAACATCTATAACCCTCAGCGCTACTGACTGCAATTCACATACAACACATATTTAGCTAGCAATTATAAGCTAATACAGTGAAACAGACATGTAGTACATGGACAAGAGGAGATTTAGAGACCACCGGTGTTAAGAATTTTTTTCCCTGATTTTAAAGCAAGCTTTTAAATTTTTAAGCTTTGTATGTTAAAAACATCTATAAGGCACAGTTTTTCCATGTATTCTGGAAACGTGTGATGTCAAGATAACAAACACCTACAAACAATAAAATCTGGCCCCCCAAAACAAAAAGTTTTGGCACCCCTGCTTTAGAATAATGGTCACTTGTCTAATCTGGAAATGAACACTTGATTTCATCGGCAGCACTGATGTATCTACAAAAATGCTTGTGTTATTAAACAACAGTGTCAACTTTTTTTCATTGTTGTCACTATTTTTTTTATTATAGTATCTTTCGTACATGTATTTCATCAACAAAGCAGTCGGTTTTGTAAAACACATTGAATGCTAAATTTAAAAGGTATTAATATGTATTCGGTCTTAATCAACTTTGTGTATAGACTGAAGCATACATTAAAAAAAACTGTCTAAAAATTGGACTAAAAAATAATCCATCAGTTTGTGATACCTAAAACCTGGTACCTAAAAGATTAGTTAGCGCTAATGTGTAGACCCAACATGTTATTAATTACATTTTATTGTTTTTTTTGTTTACTGCTAGCCCACTATAGCCCTCTATACAGCCTTTAATCACACTTTATCAAACGGATAGTTCCGGTCCTAAAATCTGATTGGCTGAGCTGCGTTCGAAGCCGTTGTAAAAGCCACGGTATACGCACACCTATGACCGCCTCAGAACAACCGAACTCTGTATCACTGCGCCACGGCACGAAAAACCCTTGTGCTGTTAATGAATAATCTTTGACTCTCTTGCTGGTTGCATGGACCACCGAGTGTACTGATGAAGTAAGAACTCGTTTTTTGTTTAAACTGAGGGGCTGGCAACTTATTTTCTTAACTAGAACTAGGATGATCAGCAAGCTAACAGGCTAAAAGATAGCCAACAGTAATACTGCCATTGGATTGGTGCTAAATAAGACTCGCGGTGGTAATTTGGTGACCGGAAAGTACTTATAAAGTGAAGGTCCTTTGCATTAAACAGTCCTGTGTTATCACATGTTAATTGTTGTTATACGACAAAAAGTTAAAACATTCATGAAATGACTGCAATACACAGTGATGGGCAACTGAATGTTCTCCTCATTCAGAGGTCCATAGTTGCTTAGCAGTGATATCATACTCTAAAGGAACTACATTTCATGGCGGAATACTTTGTCAATTATTATTAAAGATAAATAAATAAACAAAAAATTGTGTATTTTATGACATTTCATGTTGGCCGCCATTTTATAAAAGCCACTTGAGGCTGTCCATTACTGTGATTTTATCATGGGGAAGGGAGTTTTAGGCACTCTGCTTCATGTCATGCCTAAAAACACCCTTCCCATGAAAAAATGGCAGCAACACATGGCCTCTCATTGCTCATTGCTTTAATATATACAGTACAACTCAGTGAGCTTGTGTGTAAATTGGTGTGTGTTTTATGTTGTTGTAGTCAGTGTACGGTCTCCAGAATGACGTCCGCAGCCACAGCCCCACACACACCACCACACCTGAGGTTAAAGAGCCCACTGAGGAGGAGCTACACCAGCAGGTACACCCCAACCACCACACCTGAGAGCCCACTTAATTACAATACTGATTAATTTTAATACTGTAAGCCACCTGTTGATTCACCCTGTACAGTATAAATACCATGAACACCATTTCGAGCATCTGAGACATTGTCCTTATATTACACTTATGTCTTAATTAATCTGCGTATTCTACTGGGAGATTCACTCGAAAGAGGCCCCGAATATTCTGCTGTAACTCCCATTAGGATGAAGCAATCTGAACCAAAAATACACTACATACCTTGACGTATGTGTAATTGATTGCATTATATGCAATGCTGGAAGTGATCTCCGTTTTCTGCCAGACACATGAAGGGGTACGGGGGTCTGCACCTGGAAGTTGAAAACGTTAAGTTTAAACGTTGCGAGGTTAAACGTCACATCGGCTGTCCAGCGCCTGCCTCATCGCTCCGACGCAGGGCCATCCCGGCTTGTTCGAAGCTCCATATACTGAGGAGCACATTGCATGTTGTTTTCGTTCAGATTGCTTCGTCCTAGAGAGAGTTATTACAGAATATTTGGGGCTTCTTTCAAGTGAATCTCCCTGTATTTTCTAATTCAGGGCAACATTTGATATTTACATGTGCTGTCTGTAGGCCTACAATGCTGGCAAGAGAATGTAAACAGAGCACAAAATTTAAGATGTCATAAATGTTTTATTTTTATTTTCGAACTAACTCTACTGAGCTCAATAAAAAAGTTCATATTAACTACAGAAGCTGACCCAGTAAACAAAGCACTAATGTGTGACTTTTGAAGAAAACGTACCATTTTAAACTTTGCTCTTACCCACTGTGCCAGTTTTTACCCTGCTTCTCCTCTGTGAAACAAAGCTGATAAAGTCTTGTTACTTATTAATGCATACAGACTTTTATTGCTAATATGGGATAAAATTAGCCAGTGCTGTCATTAAATCTTAATCTCGCTGTTTTAATGTGGAGTTGGAGAGTGAAAGCAAGTAGAGAAAGTAGTGTAAGGTGGCACAATTACACAAGCTTTGTTTCACGCTCATTTAATAGTTAATGTTAACAGTTTAGTTCAGCAGTTTTTTAGTTCAGAGTCTGCTGCAAACTGTCCTGACTACCAGGCACAAACTGGTATGACTGGTATGACTTCATATTAATGGTTTGATTTTTATGACCTAATATGACTGTTATGACTTGTTCTGAGTGTTATGATCTAGTGTGACTGGTATGATTTTATGACCTAATATGACCGTTATGATTTGTTCTGATTGTTGTGACCTAATATGACTGTTATGACGTCATAAGATTGGCATGATTTTTATGACTTAACGTGAAGTTTATGTCTTAATATGACTGTTCTGATTGTTGTGACCTGGTATGACTTTTATGGCCTCGTACAACTGGTGTGATTTTTATGACCTAATATGACTGTTATGACTTGTTCTGATTGTTATGATCCTGTATGACCGTTTTGACCTCATATAACTGGTATGTTGTTTATGAGCTGTTATGACTGTTATGATCTGTTCTGATTGATATGACATGGTATGACTGTTATGATCTGGTATGACTGTTATGACTTGTTCTAATTGTTGTAACCTGCAAGACTGTTATGACCTCATATTGCTGGTATAATATTTATGTCCTAATATGACTGTTATGTCTTGTTCTGATTGTTGTGACCTGGTATGATTGTTATGACCTCATATAACTGGTATGTTGTTTATGAGCTGTTATGACTGTTATGATCTGTTCTGATTGATATGACCTGGTATGACTGTTATGATCTGGTATGACTGTTTGACTTGTTCTAATTATTGCAACCTGCTATGACTGTTATGACCTAATATTGCTGGTATGATTTTAATGTCCTAATATGACTGTTATGACCTGGTATGACTGTTATGATCTGGTATGACTGCTATGACTTGTTCTGATTGTTGTGACCTGGTATGACTGTTATGACTCATGTAATTGGTGTGATTTTTTATGACCTAATGACGTCTGATTGTTGTGGTCTGGTATGATTGTTATGACCTCATATAACTGGTATGTTGTTTATGAGCTGTTATGATTGTTATGACTTGTTCTAATTGTCATGTATTGATATGACTGTTATGATGTGTTCTGATTGATATGACCTGATTTGACTGTTATGACTTGTTCTGATTGTGGTATGACTGCTAGTATAATTGTGGTTTCCTGGTTAAAATAAATGAAATTGTTACCTAATTGATCCCTTCTTGAGCTGAACAAGGTGTGAACAGCAGAGAAAAACACTAAACTATGTATCGCTAATGTTTTGTAGTGAATGAGTGAACCACTCTGAACACGTGACTTGCTTATAAGTCGTTCTGCCTATTATGACCTGGTGTTACTGTTATGACTGATGTGGCCTTTATGACCTAATATAATTGCTATGAATGGTTCTGATTTTTGTGACCTGGTATATCTATTATGGCTTGCTGTATCCTGATGTGACTGTTAGTTTGACTGTTTTGACTGTTATGACCTGTTATGATATGGTGTGACTGTTATGATCTGGCCTGATTACTATGACGTATTATAACTTATCATCTGCTACCACTGTAAATAACCTAGTAAGACTGCTATGATCCAGTATGACATGACCTAGTACGACTTTTATGATGTGGCATGACTGTTATGTCTTATTATGACATGTTATGACCTATATATAATATCTTGTAAAGTGAAATCTTAAGTCTAGTCAATATATCAATTATTTCTCCTTATGATGTTGTTGCAATAATGTTAAGATTAACATTAACATATTTCTAGACATTTTATCACTGTTTTAAGTAATTTTATGAAGTGAAATGATCTCATTAGATGTCTCAGTAGATTATCTAGGCATGGATATATTTCTTAAAATAAGCAAAATCATCTAACAATATAGTGAGATGATTTCACTTGATAAACTTAAGCAAAAATACATCTATAATAATCTTACAATAATCTTACAACAATATCCAAATGAGAAATATTAGATATATGAACTAGATTTAGGATTTCATCCACGAATATATAATTTTTTTGCAGTGTTTGGCCTAGTATGACCTGTTAGAAGTGATGAATGTGCTTATAATTATCTGTTTATTTGCAGATACAGTATTGGCAAGCGCAGTTGGACAGACATCGGTTAAAAATGTCAAAAGTAGCTGAAAGGTTAGTTCTGTTCTCTGACTGTTCTTCAGCTGATTTTGGAGAGGAGAAGTGAAACTGTATGACATACTGAGATGTGTTCAAATGCCACAACACACAAATGAAATGTTATTATGTGTAAATACACACATGCACACGAAGCCTTGTGGTTATTTATACTTATATCTACAGCATTTGGCAGATACTCTTATCCAGAGTGACTTAGAAAAGTGCCTTGTTGTCCTCTCAGAGAATGAATCTGCACTAATTCAAATAAATTACAGTCCAAATTACTCTCGAGCTAAAACACTGCCAGAAACAGGAGTCAGTGCTGATACCTAGAAAGAAAGATACAAAATACAGACATGGCACATGTGCAATATAGGATATTTCAATAAATGCTGAGTAATAATTATGAAGTGTTTTGTGGGTGAAAGGTTATGAGTGTGAGGTGATTTGATGTGAAGTATTTGAAGCATTACAACACTTTGATGTATCATTATGATGTATCTGTGATCTCTCCTGCAGTTTGTTGAGCTACACAGAACAGTATATGGAGTATGACCCTTTCTTCACCTCGCCAGACCCCTCAAACCCCTGGATCTCCGATGACAATACACTCTGGGAGCTGGAAGCCAGGTGAGTGTGTGTGTGTGTGTGTGTGTGTGCACATATGTGTGTTGTGTAAAGGGCTGCCACAGACCACTACCATGTAAACCATGTATTAGATCTGCTTTACAGTACATATTTATTTATTTACTGAGCATGTTGAATATAAACATGCTCATTGTTTTACCTGCTATCGGTACTAAGGGCTTTAGTAAATGGAGGTGACCGTTGAGGTGAGCCGTAGCCGTCTGATGTGAGGAGGATGATGGAGCTGGGCTCAGCAATGATCTCTATCAGACGCGACACATCCAGCACGGCTGCCTATCAGCTCTCTCGCATCATCGCTTCTGCTTAGCTGTGTTTGCTGAGGCAACAGCAGAAATGACCTTATCTCATTTTCATCCATCCCTCCCCTACGCTCACACCCATGGTGCTGCACAGATAGAGCTGGATCAACACCTTTAAACTCTCTCTCTCCACCCCTCTCCCTCCACCCCTCTCTCTCTACCTCTCTCTCTCTCTTCTCTCTCTCTCTCTCTCTCTCTACCTCTATCGCTTGCTCTCACATTGTGTTTTCCATTTTTCTGAGGTGTTCAGATAGAGTTGTGTCAACATCTTTAAAGGCAAACTCTCTCTTTTTCAATGTCTCTTTCACTATCTCCCTGTCTGTCTTTCTCCCTCTCTTTCTCTCTCTCTTTCTCTCTCCCTCTCACCTTCTTTCTCTCTCTATCTCTCTCTATCCCTCTTTCTCTCTCTTTCTCTCTCTCCCCTTCTTTGTCTTTCTCTTTCTCTCTCTCTCCTGTCTCTCCATCTCTCTCTTTCTCTGTCTTTCTCTCTCTCTCTCCTGTCTCTCCATCTCTCTCTTTCTCTGTCTTTCTCTCTCTCTCCCTTCTTTTTCTTTCTCTTTCTCTTTCTCTTTCTCTCCTCTCTCCCTCCCCACTCTCTTTCTCTCTCTCTTTCTCTCTCTATCTCTCTCTATCCCTCTTTCTCTTTCTCTCTCTCTCTCTCCTTCTTTGTCTTTCTTTCTCTCTCTCTCTCTCTCTCTCTCTCTCTCTCTCTCCTTCCCCCTCTCTCTCTGATAGTGTTGTGTAAACAGTGGTAATGGTTTCTGTTCTCAGTGTAAACGCTGGGTTTCCTGTTTAGAGTTAAGTAAGTACTGAAGCTCCATCTCCACCTGCAGCTTCATCATCACTGATACACGTCCAGCAGTCAGACTCACTGTCGACTGGATTACTTTAAAATAAGCGTGACTGGGCTGTAGTCCAGGACCAATCAGAGCTCAGATTTTAACCCTTACAGGGTCTACAGTAATTATCAGTACTATGTATATGTAATTGCACATTAATTACATAGTTGTTACATAATTACATAAAACTACCGTTACATCGATTTACACTCTGATTTACTGACTCGTGTCTGTGCTTCTTACTTAGTCGCTTTGTTTCAATGATAAAAACAAGGCAGAAAAGGGAAGAATGATTTTTCTTTCTGCGAGACAAGAAACACACAACAATAACTTTTTGTCAAATTCAAATCATAATTATATCTCCTCTCATACTAACAAACACAAATGGTATATGGAATAACATTTTAACACATTTTTTTTGTTTCAGTGAGCTATGAATGAGCAATAATTCAAGAAAAGGAAGAAAATTCCTTAGCTAATATGCCATGGAAGAAATCAGTGGGTTGTAAATATAAAAAAGTCTAGTGATACTTCAGACTTTTAATCAGTCTGACTAGACTGTAGTCCAAAAATAGTAATATTTTGCATTTTGAAATAGATCGTTAGATTGTAGTGTTTAAACACGAAACGAATGCTAATTAGAAGTAGATGAGCTGGAGGTAAGTAAAGCACTATATGGTTTCAAATGTTAAAGAAAAAAATGCTGCAGCATGAAACACTACTGTTTGTAAGTGAAGTGACCTCATTTTATTTTTCACACACGTGTAAAACGTGAAAACAAGATCATATGTGCAAAAAAATGGGGGGGGGGTGTAATCATATGTATATAAACATTATCAGGTGAAAAGTCATGCTTTCCCATGATAAAACCTGATCACGTGCTGTTTCAAGGCATGATGTCACATTTTCACATGATGTTTCATGGAGTTAGTTGGGATTATGTGGTGTTTAGACTGACATTTCAAATGTGATCAAATGGTGTTTAGACTCGGATCCACTCGTACCAGCACAACACATGCTAACACAACACCACCACATCAGTGTTCCTGCAGTGCTGAGAATGATCCACCACCAAAGAGTACCTGCTCTGTGAGGGTCCATGGGGTCCTGACCACTGAAGAACAGGGTAAAAGGGGGCTAACAAAGTATGCAGAGAAACAGATGGACTACAGTCTGTAACTGTAGAACTACAAAGTGCACCTATATAGTAAGTGGAGCTGATAAAATGGACAATGAGCGTAGAAACAAGGAGGTGGTCATAATGTTATGCCTGATCGTATGTGACTTTGATCACATGGTATTTAGACACTTCAAGTGAAATATGTGCCTTTTCTTTAAGAGCACTTCAGGCCTCTCAGATGTGTCATGAACACAGGTGTGCATAACAGCAGAAGCCCGGGCCAAAGTCCAGCAGACATGCACATGGATAAATATTGGCTTGGCTCTGTTGACTACAGCTGCTTATGTGACTCTTAAAGCCCCAGTCAGGAGTCACTGAAACAGCGTTGTGGTCTCTCCGGTTTAGTCAGTGCTGCTCAAAACACATGCTTCAGAATATCTTCAAGTAAAAAGATGCTGAATACTACACTGTTAGAAATGATTGTTCTGTGCAGGTATACTTTTGTTCATTAAGGTACAAACAATGTAAATGTTTCCTTAAAGGTACAACAGTAGTTTTAAGGTCCAATTGTAAACCTTAAATAAGTTTTTCCAGGTGAAAAGTACATATTTGTACATTTTCATAACGAATGTTTTAAAACAGAAAAATAAAGTAAAAAGCCTGGAGACGAGACGGGGTGTGTGGAGTCAGTACAACTTAGAAAATATAATTTCAATTGATTAGTACAGTTATGTTCCCTGACCAAAGGTACTGAGATGTATCCTTGAGGGTCCCACCCCAGTGACAAGAGGGGTACTGCTCCAGTGACAGTTATGTACCTTTACTTCTTAGAGTATAGTTGGACAGGATTAGTTATACATGAGGATGTGGGGTAATATAGTTATTACCAGTATATCTCCCATTGGAATTCTCTATATCAGTCATTTCTATAGACTGGTTATAAGGTTATATTAGTCCTAGCAAAATGCCCTATCTCGTTTTTCTTAAGCCAGGCATAAACATTTTATAGCTAGATTTTAACCTTTGATTTGCCACTTCTGAAAATTTGTAAACAATTGAAAGATAATGTCCAGATCAGGAGCTTCTTTAGAATCAACAGCGCTTATGACATGGTACTGTGAGATGAGAGTCATTGTTTAGAGTTCCAATTGAGCTCTGGAGTGATCGGACGCCTTTTTCAAACCTTTTGTGTTACAGCTGAAAACATTTATGGGTGCCTGGTGGCTGGTAGCCTAGTAGCAGGAGAGGTGAGCCATCATCCAGAATGTTGAGTGTTCAAATCCCACAGCTGATCGGGTATACCTTCTTGTGCCCTTGGGCAAGGCGCTTAACCCTAGGTGGTGCAGCTCTGCTGGTGACACTGTGCTGCTCCCAGATTGGGCATACTTAGGCAGAATAATGAATTTCCTTTGTAGGGCCACTAAGGTACATAACATAAAAAGGTAATAAAAGCCATAACTACTTAGAAAATAGCTTTTCTCAATAAAAATGCATCAGCATTTTGCTAATGTAAACCAGTTACAGGAAATGCTTAGAAGCTTCCAAATAAGGCTTTGCTAACTGCTGAGAAACAAGGTGCCCAAACCTGAGCAAATATTATATTCACTACTTTTTTGTACAATCTAGTTCAAATGTTATTGGGCAGTGACATAATCTTTGTTGTTTTGCCTCTGTAGTCCAGCAGTGCAAAATGTCAGCTTTAATTTAAGTCTGTGTGTGTCTTTTCGGTGAATTGTATATGAATATTGGACCATTTATTCTATATAATTTCAGGTGTCCATAAGTAATTGAATACAGTCACTTAACCTTAAATAAATTCCTGAGGTTTGGTACTTGGTAGCAACAGTGTTTGAACTATAGACATCACCAGATGCTGGTTATCTTCTCTGGCGATGCTCTGTCAGGTCTGTAATGCAGCCAGTTTCAGTTCCTGCCTGTTTCAGGGCCTTTTTGCCTCCAATCCTTACTCCAGTAAATGAAATTCATGGCCAGTTGGCTTCAGGTCAGGTTATTGACCTGGCCTGTCCAGTACGTTCCACCTCTTGGCCCTGAAAAACGCCATAGTTGATTTAGCAGTATGTTTGGATCATTGACCGCTGCAAGGTGAAGCACTATCGTAAAGCACTTGATTAAATGTGAAGCTTCTGTTCAGTACAGAATTCATCCTAATACTCCCACTGACCATCAGTATAGTAAATGATTCAGTTACAGCAGTGGCTATACATTCACATGTGCATGCCACTGTTCTTTAGCACATCTACGCCTACATCCTGGATAGAGTTCAGCAGTTTTTCTTCATCCACTACTGTGGTCTTTTACAGGTCTTCCATGTTGTTTGTTACTAGCTTGCTGCATTGTTAGCTGGTAAATGCAGATTGCTGCGAAGTCGAATATCTTATTGCACATGTGCAACTGTCTTTGTCATCATTACATTGGAGAGAATGGATTACTCAAAATGAGAACTCATCAGATGAGAGGGACAAGCTAAAGTTAGCAAGGCAGCTATGTGACTATGTAGATACCTCACCTCACTTTGGCTTCTTTTCTATGGCTGTAATGGTAAACATTTGTCTCTGGCCTGCTGAATAAAGATTTGAAGATTAAAAATTAGTTACACTAATGCTAGCTTGGTTGTGTTTATTAGCCTTTAGCTCAGTTGGTTAGGCTAGCAGTCAGGATAGGTTGACAATACAGGGATCCTCAGTGATTGCATGATGTATTTGCATAATGCTAACATATAGTTTACATAACGGTCTAAAATTATGAATTATGCCAAACCAGTGACCCTGAGGGATGCATGCTGTACTACAGATTAGCACAGATTAGAACAGTTAACATATGAAATGCTACTTTTAGGCCACAATGTTGTTTGTATATGAACTAATTGTGCAGCGACACAGCTGACAAGAACCAACTTGGTGGCCGACTGTCCAGTTATCTTAGGTTGGTTAAATAGGAGGACTGTGTATGAAAAGGGCTGTAATCTCTGTGTTATTCATAGAACACGGACACAAATGCAACTGAACACATGCTAACTTGGCACAAAAATTTCTGGAGGTTAGTCAATCTGCTGAGCTCATCTCTCACCCTAATTGAACACACCTGCCTGTAATGTCCAGGTGCTCCTGAGGGTTTACACTAGCTGGACTGTTATGGATGGGCAGCAGGCTAATCTAAGTAATGGCGCTGCATTAATCAAAGAGCAGCAGTGTGCAGCGGTTAGCATCCCTTCAAATATCACGCATGTGTTTCAGGAGAGCCAAAACTATGAATGAATCCATGTTTGGAAAAGTGACAGAATGAAAGTCTGCAGCATGCATTTCTTTATTCTCTTTCTGGGTTAATTCTGGGTTTGAATGCTCAGACCAGCTTCTGTACAGACATCATTACTGTTAATAGCCATCACATAATAAATTAATGTATTCTCCCTCTCCCTCCCTCCCTCTCTCTCTCTCAGTAAGGAGCCGGGTCAGCAGAGGGTGAGGCGGTGGGGATTTGGGTTTGATGAGGTTCTGAAGGATCCCGTAGGGAGGGAACAGTTCCTGAAGTTTCTGGAATCCGAGTTCAGCTCAGAGAACCTGCGGTAAGCTAAACTCAGCTACAACTCACCCCTTCACGGATTAATCGCACGTCACTTCTCATCCGAGGGATTAATTACTCTCTTACTTACTCGCATTTCAGCACTGTTGGCTTCAAGGCTTGCTTTTGCTGTTTTGTTCTCCGCTTCACTGGAAAGAAAGAAAGAACAAGAAAAAAAAAGGCTGCGGTGTTTGAAACACAGTGAAATTCAATGAGATAATTATTAATAGCATGCAGTAGCTGGATTCATAGACATGGACCTAGCAGTGGACAGTATGGCTAAAAAAATTAGATCACCATATCAACGCTGTCCAAAGAAAATAAATAAATAATAACTTTACAGGAGAAGACAAAAACGTTCTTTACTTTAAATGTAAGTTGATGGAAAGAGATTTTATTCTAAGCAATTTTGGAGCATTTCTATTGGTGCAATCATCATGAAATTTTCACACAATGTAAAGGACAGCTGCTGAGCTCAAATGATGCAGAAAAGTAAAAATCGCAAAAAAATGGAGATACATGATTTTCTTTGGACAGCAATGATATATTTAAATCTCTGATTGCTTAGTCGTGTGTGTGTGTGTGTGTGTGTGTGTATTTTTAAATAAAACCATTAAAAATACTTAAGTAAACTTATTTTTGTAGTTTTTGTTACAGTGGTGTATATTCTGGGATGTCCCTTCATTTGTTAAATAAGAACCATGAAGTATATTTGAAATATTCTTTATTTATTATTCTTTGAATGTTTTTAATTTAAAATTGAACAATATCTGGATAACCCTCAGTATTGCTTTCTAACACTAGCTCAGCAGGACTGGCAAAAATGGTGCTACATGATGTTACACGTCTTGATTTCTTCTAAAGTTTGCTTTTTTTTTTTTGTTTTTTGTTCTAATTTCACCGTTCCACCTGAAAAAGAGCAACAGTTACAATTTGGCACCTGTACAGGCGCCTGTATGTAAGTGCTAACTGCAGCACCGTTTAAGGTGGAGGGGGAAAATACAATAATAAGCTGACTTCAGGCTCTTTTGAATTTCTCAAGTAGTCTGTCTCATACTTGTGTCCTGTACACTCGCCCCTCCCACCATCACACACTGCAAAAATGTTAGTCATTCACGATTCAGTCCTAGCCCATCCACGGCTGGTTTCGCACACACGGCCTGAGACCACAGCTGATGCAGCTAATAGTCAGTCGGCTCAGGTGACACAAAAGGAAGCACAGCAATCGGCCTGCCGTCCACGTTAGTGGACCGAAGTAGACTACTTCAGCTGCAACAGTACAGACAGCAGGAGGTGATTGAGTTCCTGCTGAGTTTTCATTTCCATTTGAATGACTGACGCAGTGACTCAGCTAAAAGGGGCCGGCATGAGAGTGGTTTGCAGTGCTTATACGTCACGTCATCAGCGCTTGTTTGTAGTATTACAGTCATGACAAAACTCATACATTCTTAAAAAAAAGTGGTTCTTCAAGAGAACATTCTTAAAGAAAATGGTTCTACATAGAACCATGAGCACTCAAAGGACCCTATACATGATAAAATGCAAAGAATGGTGATTGTGTTGTAGATGATTATATATATGTTTTGAAAAGGGTTCTATAGAGCACTAAAGAGGGTTCCACTATTGTTGCAAGCCAAAGAACCAGTTTTTGGTACTATATGGAACCCTTTTTGCCAAGAGTGTACCTGAAGAAGAATTTCAACCAGTACAGAGGAGGAACTGTTACGCCAGCCAGTACTACATGGACCAAATGTAGTGTCTTGAACTGAAATTGCAGTGTCTGTAGTGATTTGCCTCTAAAAATCTCTTCAGATCCCTTTTCAGTCTAAGCTTAGGGTTAATATAGGTGAACAAGACTAAAAAATGAGTTCAGTGACCTAAGGATCCATATATGGGGCCCATGCTTTAGTTTCTTACTATTATATCGACAGAAATAACTTATTATATAGTAGTTATGGAATATTTTTTTTAGAAATTACTGACTAATAAGTGTTTATTGGCATTACAGGCTTATTTTAAGATGAATAACAACAGTAAATTTTGCGCTCACAGGGTCCACATTGTAATATAAAACTGATATAAAAAGTAATGGAGATTTGCTGAACTGAGAAGGAAGATAAGCCTCTTGGCTCCCTCTGGTGGCCATGGAGGCAATTGTCACTCATAGGGAAGATATCGGAACTTGTTTCCAGAAAAATGTGATTTTCACTGTCTGCTAACTTTAAACTAACTTGGGCTGGCAAGAAGTATAGATTGGCTTTTAGATAAAATGTAAGGCTGCGGTTTAAAACTATGAAATGAAGGTCTGGTTATGCTTGACAATTTTAAATATAATCTGCTTTGACAGAATAAAAACCACATCAGATTGCTATTGGGCAGCTTTCACTCATAAGAGCCTCCTGTGGGTATTTAGTCTAGGTACTTTGAAGCTTTTGCTTCATGTTGACAATTTTAAATATAACTCCATTTATTTAATAAATTACTACTAATAATAATAAATGATAAAATTGCTTGCTTGATGAATTGCTATCCTATCCTGCAATCCTGTTTGTGTCTGCAGGTTCTGGCTGGCTGTGCAGGAACTGAAGAAGCGGCCCATTCGTGAGGTGCCCAGCAGGGTGCAGGAGATCTGGCAGGAGTTTCCTGGCCCCCGGAGCCCCCAGCGCCATCAACGTCGACTCCAAGAGCTACGACAAAACCACCCAGAACGTCAAAGACCCCGGCAGATACACTTTTGAAGACGCTCAGGTCAGAATGACACAGAGACTGCAGATAACCTTACACTGATTTGTATATGGTTTATTGCTCTTATTAAATGTGCTACTTTGACATTATGATTGCATCATCATCACTTCAAATACAAGAGAAGTACAACCGTTTAAAAATTCAAGATAAAAAGCCCACACCTGTAGCTCACCACGTACATTCTCATTGCTTATGTACTACACTGTGTTCCAAATCATTATGCAAGTGACATATCGGTAGCATTTCAATAAAATGAGCTTTTGGGTAATTCTCCCTTTGGAGTGGGAATTCAGGTGGATACATTTTTAAAAAAATCAATTTCTTTCATCCCAAAACTAAATAATCTTAATATGTCCATTAACATCTCATTTTATCATATATGCAAAAAGGAGAGCCACTGGTGTGATATGAATATGGTGTAACACCAGTGATGTAACTTCAGTGATATTCTGGTTAAAACTGAGGATTTCGTGAATTTACAGACTCATTGGTGGTCAGGTGAGCTTGTGCAACTATTTGAAACTAGTATTGAAAATGATATATGATAAAAAAATGATAAATGATAATAATGATATTTGGCATTATTTTGACAAAATTTTAATTACCCAGCCATTAAAGCACATAACACCAGTCGCATATAGATGTTATGTGCTGCATGATTAACAAAAATTTTTAATAAATTAATGAAAAATAGTGAGCAAGTGTGACTCGCCTTATCATGCTCTGAGATGCTTCCTCTCTGATGTGCCTCAACTCCAAGCAGCAGTTTAATAGAGCTGAAAAATACGGTGTTAATATGTAATATAAGAGTCCTGAAAACACCAGTCACAAAAATCTCTCTGACAAATGAATTTTATAAATAAATTTTTTAAATGTAGTATAATGTTAATGATATAAAAAGTAAACATGAATCTGTTTTATACAAATTCCTAAGTTAAACCTCTTAAAATATTGTTTTATTTAAAAAATTGTTTCTCAAACGTTGAAAACTGGTTGTGTGATGAGCTGTTTTACAGATGCAGAGCGACTAGGAAACAGGATAAAAAAAGAAAAATCAGGGAAATCATAAGGGAAAAGCGTTATTTAATCTTAGGTCAACTGTGTATATGTACATACTGACTTTTGGAGCTGTGCCTAATATTTTAAGCATCTTTTTAAGCCCTGCAACCTTTGTGACATGGTTTCCCATCCAAATGGAGAATGACTTATTTAGGTTTTAGTTTTTTGAATAGTTTTGGGGAAGAACCTTTTCTGTTCCAGCATGACTGAGCCCCAGTGCACAAAGCAAGGTCCATAAAGGCCTGGCTGGGTGAGTTTGGTGTGGAAGAACTTGACTGGCCCTCACAGAGCCCTGACCTCAACCCCATCAAACACCTTTGGGATGAACTAGAAGGGAGATAGTGAGCCAGACCCTCTCGTCCAACATCAGTGTCTGACCTCACAAATGCTCTTCTGCATGAATTGACAAAAATTCTCACAGACACTCTCTGAAATGGGTAGAAAGGTTCCCAGAACAGGGGAAGTTGTTATAGCTGCCAAGGGAGGACCAACTCCTTATTAATGCCTATGCATTTAGAATGGGAGGTCATAAAAGCTCCTGTAGGTATAATGTGTAGGTGTCCCAATACTTTTGTCCATATGGTGTGTGTCACTGAGAACATTTTAACAGTACTTAATAAGCATGGCCAGCTACTGGCATGGCCATGTGGAAAATGCTTGAATCTGTGGATATTAAGGCAGTTCTGTGTGGATTTGTATGTGTGTTTGGGGTCATTGTTCTTCTGAAAGACACAACCCACTTTTAGTTTCTGTGCAGACAGATTTTTTTCATTTAAAATCTTCTGGTATTTCATGGAATTCATGATGTAATGTGTCCTAGCAAAGTTACCCACTTTGAGTATTTGTTACCAAAAAGCTATATTTTTATCTCACCTGACCATAGAAGTGGGATCCAGTCAGTTCCACAGGCGTCTATAGACAGTCAAGCTCTTATATTCATGGTTAAATAGAAAGAAAAGGCTTTCTTCTGAAGATCCTTCAAAATTGTTTGTTGGCGTGGAGGTGATATATAGTTTGGGAGACTTAGTGACCCCAAAATGCAACCATCTTCTGCAAATCTCCAGCTTTGATCCTGGGAGAAATTTTTGCCTCTCTTACTGTCCTTCTCACTGTGCGTGGGGGGTAAAATAAGCATGTGTCCCACGTCCAGATTTGAGAGTTCACTACAGCTCTGGTAGTTTTAAATTTCTTAATCATTTCTCCAACAGTGGATACAGGCAGGTAACATTTATAAAGAGCAACACACTTTTGTTTTAGGTCATTTGTGTTCTCTAATCTTCTCATGTTGATGAACCAAGGGAATCTGGCCTCTGTCCCACCTCACCTCATATTTATAGCCCAGGGAAAAAAGAAGTTGTGGATGATCCCTTAAGAGTAAAAAGTGAAATATAAATAGGAACATTCAGTTATATTTTGTTCATAACAATTTAGAATATTCCTAATTAATTTCTAACATGATTTTGCAAAATATATTTTAAGAAGGTTTTTTTAGACTACATTTACTTTCAAATGAATTATATTTATTTCTCATATTTTTCACATCCATTTTTTGGCCCATCTTTAGTAAGGGTGGGGATAACGATGGAGTACTGTAGTAACACTGTAAACAAATAATTAAATAATAAAAAACACAAATAAATAAATGTTACTGGGCTTTTAAGGCTTACTTGCCTTAACATTTTGATTTAATTGAACTTCTAATAATCTGTTAACAGAACAAGAATGTGTGTCCTAAACCACTGATTAGTCGACTTAAACAGGAAAGCCCTACAGTGAACTCAGTTTAAGCAACTGAAAAATCTTTAGTAGGCCATTACAGTCTTCTGGTATGATTTTAAGGCAGTATAGTGAATTGCCAAGGCTGATTCCTTTCTGTAGATATGAATCTTTATCAAGTGTACAGATTAGTGATCTATCAATTAAAAAAAAATGAATGTGCTGTATCTGGGTGTGGTCATAAGTTCCTTGTGTTTCTTTTCCCTCTCTTTAGGAGCATATCTACAAGCTGATGAAGAGCGACTCGTACAGCCGCTTCATTCGATCCAGTGCCTACCAGGAGCTTTTGCAGGCCAAGAAAAAGGTAAAGTTTCTCAAACGACTGGAGACCGCCATCTAATCGCCCGCCTTCAGCACGTCCGACCGACCCTACCGGCTGTCCCCTGCTGCCCCCTGCTGTCCTGGAGCAGCAGGAGGTTTTGGAGCCGGAGACTTCTACCAGAGGCTAATGCCATTACTATGCAGCGATGCCATTATCATGCAGGGACTATTCACTCTGCAGCCTGCAGGATTATGTGCCTTCTTTTTTGTTCACTTTATCCTCAGGGACAGGTGCATGTATAGAGAGGAACTCTAGAGTTAAACAGACCATGTTTTATGGACTTTCTGGAGCCCTCATTATCACATCGCTTATATAGGGACCTGTTATATTGAGTTTCTTTACCTTTGTGTCTGTGTCTGTACTCGATTTGCTTTTTGGTTCTCCTTCTTGTTGTTTCTGTCAGATATTTTTACTGCATGTTCCTGTTGCTGTCTGTGTCACAGCTTTTGATTATTTTCCATTTGGCTTCTGTGTTCGGCTCTGCCTCCTGTTTCTTCTTCTTTCTGTTTGTGCTTTTTTTGTTTCCTGTCTTTGTTGTTGTTTTTATTCTGTTCTCTGGTCTACTGAAGTTCTGAAGCACATATACTAGGAAGGCAGAGGTTCATGCCTTGTAAATTGGTAAGTGCATCTCGTCAGAAGAGTATCACAGAGTTTTGTGCACAAATATCAAGCCTGAAAAAGTGCTTTGGCAGTTTGCCTATTATAGCTGGACCTTTTTCAAATGGTTTCTGTGTAAAAACAGGGAAAATTAAGTAAGAAATCAAAATAGAAAAGTTTAATATGTGGGAAGTGGTCAAAGTTGAAATAAATAAAAAAATACATTTCCCACTGGTGCGACATTAAAGCAAGAATTAGGTATTAGTCAATATTTGTCCATGTGTAATGTAGATTATAGGGCTGACACTGTTAGTTATATATGTGTTTAAGTAATCTGGTGGTTATTCTGCCGAATAATTGAGTAATCTATGTGTTTAATTGAACATTTTGGGCTTAATTGAGCATTTCATATACTATGCAAAGCCTTTCAAAGATTCCAAAATACTACACAGAAAAAGACAAAAAGGAAGCATTTGAAATTACTTTTAAAATATACAAACAATAATTAGCAGAAATGCATAAAAATGTATGTCCATCAGAGTCTGTTTCAGACTATTTAAAATGTGCAGATTTAATATACCTTTTACTTATGAACAGAGCTGCTCATAAGGGAGAAAAATGGGAGCTTTCAGGGGCCTCAGACACTAGAGGGGGCAAAGAGATCAAAAATAATATACCTTGCAAAATAATATTTTTTCCTCAAAGTTTATCTCTCTTTAAAGAGAAAACATTAGGGATGATCACATAAGTATCAGCTTGATCCAGCTTTGATTTATGTACTAATTTATGACTTTCTTGGACCTCCACAACCTGCAGCAGTAAGACGCATTTTCAGAAATTATCGAGGCAGTTTAAATGTCTGCAGTGTGAAACTATTTTAAAACGGAAAATTAAGATATCCGCAGTATTCAACTGCATTTTAGCTACCAGTGTTGTATTTAAACTGTTAAACTATTTGCATGTGAAATGCAGCTGTTGCATGTGCCTATTATGCTTTGAGTCTGTTTTTTTGCCACTTGCGACAAGTGGCAGGCCACTAGAAGAACACATGAAATAGACTATCACAGTGTTTTTTTGCTTGCTGCTGGTGTACTCTCTTAAAAAAGATGGTCCATGAAGGGTTCTTTAGCCAAGACAGTGGTTCTATATAAAACCATGAACACTCCATAAACAACATTTGCATGCTTAAATGGTTGTTTGTATGGTGAAATTGTTCTTCAAATTAATAGAGAATGTGTTGTATATTGTTCTGTATAGCACCAAAAAGGGTTCTTCTATTGGAAAAAGCTTGGCATCATAATAATAGTAGAACCCTTTTTGTTGCTATATAGATCCATTTTCATAAAGGTTCTAAGTTGAACCATATATACAATACATTCTCTACTAATCCTAAGAACCATTTTAACCCTTTAATCATGCAAATGGTACTTGAGTGTTCATGTTTCTGTATAGAACCATTGCCTTTACTAAAGAACCCTTGAAGAACCATCTTTTTTATAGTGTATGAAGCAATGTAAACATGTTATACTAGTTATGTTACACCACTTCTTGCTTACAACCATTGGTAAGCTTGGTTTATACAGATGAAATCATGGTGTATTCACAACCCTACGAAGTAACCCTAAAAGATATCAGACCAGAGTATATACGACTATACGAGGAACACAAAAGTTATTGGGGTGCCCCCCCTTGGGGAGACTCTTCAGATTGCTAAACACGGCTTTATAATAACCTGTCGATACCCTCTTAATCATTTAAATTGCACTAATCACTGCATCAACTCAGTGAAAATGTATGTAAAAAAATATGGGAGCCAAATTAAGTGAAAATAAGTTGACATATCCTTTACAGAGAACACACTTCTGCACATTTTAATGCACAATTACTGTTTATTTGCTGAATTTCGCATATTGAGAAAAAAAGGGCATAAAAGTGGCAAATATAAAGGTTATGGCACAATTAATATGTTTTAGGTTTTTCCACTGTGTTAAATTCAGCAAATAAATATAAATAGTGCTCTGAATTAGCAGAAAAAATGGCATATTTAAGTTTTACTCCAGGGAGTATGTTAACTTATTTTCACTTAGTAAGTCAACAAAATGTAATTTGACTGCGTAAATTTTAATCAGTTGTTTTTAATAGTCTTTTATTTTATTTGGTAATCATAACACCCTAATTCAATGTTTTACATTTATTCTTTTATTTTCTTTACAGAAGAGCAAGAACCTATTCTGAAGAAGTGGCTGGGTAAATTCATCCAACATTGCCAACTCAAACATGAATATTCACTTTAAAAAAAAACTGAAATAAAAAAACTGAAATAAAAATGTTATTTATAAGTATGTGCACAACTTCAATAAAACTTCTTCCTGTTTTCCTCTCTCGGTAGGACAGCACATCTACGTCAGCCAGGCTGCCAAATTTTGTGCAATCATGCTCAAGTTCCACCACACTTCAGCTGGGGAAGAGGACCGTGTGTACATTATTGTAATCTACTGTTCTCCATTACTAAAACCCACGGCAGTAGACCAGTTGTTGCATGTCTGATAAACTGAGGTACTGTACTTAAAAAAGACTGCTCTTTATTTTCTTTCCATCCTTCATCATCTTTCTGTGATGAGGCACTTTGGACTTTTTTTCCACAGACTTGAATTTGCGCACATGCCTTTCCAAAAAAGAAACAAAAAAAAAAAAGAAAGAAAAAGCCATTTGCCCAGTTACATCCTTAGTTACACATATCAGCTGTAGCTGTCTGCTGTGAACTGAGAATAGTAATAAAGTTAAATCTATAAAATCTACAAAAGCTTAGTAACAATCTCAGTTGGAATCCTTTTTTTTCACCATCATATGAACGATCCTTACAACAACACGCATCACGTTTAATTTCCCTTGTTGCACTACCGAGTTTAACACAGATGCCACTGCAATTGTAAAGTCACATTTGAATGAGGAGCTGTATCTTCGTCTTACGTCGTTGACTTGAAAATGCTTTTAACGTGTCTCATTTATTTTTATACTATATTTAAGGATATGTTGATTTGTTATCTGTATATTAGTCTTTTTTGTTGTTTCATTTTTTGTAAATATCTGTAAAAATCCCGGGTAAGCAGGGAAGGACAAAATAGAAAAGACAACTTAAACAAATTAAGGACAAAAACATATTTTTAATCCTTCTTCCACCCTGTTACATGTTATTTTTGTTAGTGAAAAGATTAACCAAACAAAAGCTGTTGTGAACATGTCAAATGACACTATCACTGCCTCTAAGTTGGAAGTCTTTGGATCACTTGTGATGTGCTTATGGCGTATGAATGAACTTATTTGTATGATGTTTTTAGTTGGGGTTTATGAGTTTATGAACAGGTAATGTACAGCACATGTGGAATGTGTTGGCAAGAACCTCATGAATGAGTTACACGACTGCAGTATGTTGTTCAGTAATGTATACGTGTGTAACATATCACTGCGGTCAGTTTTTTACATAATTTGAAAATACCTGTAGTCCTTTAAATTGTATGTAACTTTCATGATGAATGCACCAAAAGAAATGACCCAAAATGACTTGGAAAAATGTCTGGTTCCATTGATTTGCACTAAAAGTAAAGTAAGTTTTTTCCTTCTCCTGTAAAGTTACCATTTTGGACATACAAGGTTTTGTTCTGTCCGCAGCGATATGTGGTGTTTGTGCTGGTGTGGGTGTTGCTGAACACTGTGGATGTTGGTTTGGTTGGATGTGCAGTGGTTGGTGTGTATGGATGAGGATATACGCTGCGGTTGTTTGTGTAAGAGGTTAAGTAATGTTAGAATTTACACTCACCATCCACTTTATTAGTAACACAAATTTTAACAATTTAAGCAAATACAGTGGACAATAAGACTTAAAAATAATGTAATTAAATGTCACTAAGCCCAACAAAAACAGAAATTAAAAGGAATAAAAATTGGGAAAAGCCAATATAAAATAAATAAAAGCAAATACAATAAATAAAATGAGGCAATAAGCAAAGGCAAGGTCTTTTAACTTAGCGACACTTAAGCAATCCTTATGTGCTAACTTAAGAGGTCTCTAAGGCTCATGGACCAAACCACGTAATGCTTTAAAGGTAATTTGTACAAGTTTTCTTCCCAATTTCATTGTGTCCAGTTCCACCCACTAGTTAGGGTCTCCCCCAATCACACAATCCCACCTCCAAGTCATGTGAAACCAGCCACTTTTCGAACTGCTGCTAACGCCACGTTACTGAACAGCTGAACACATTTGGAGGAGAACGCTAACCGCCAGTTCTGTTATGTCAGCTAACAGACGGCTGCATTGGCTAGCATTGCGTTGAATGACCATCCTACCCACCCAGAGAGAGTGAGGCCAATTGTGATCTCTTGAACTCCTAGCCATGGATGGCGCTAGTATCAAACTCACAATGTCCTGATGATAGGGCCAATGCCATATATATTATTTTCAGACTCTGCAAAAGATAAAATTAGCTTTGCCTTGTTCCTAAACTGATAGTAATATGATTGTACCAATTGTTTTCACATGTTAGTTTATTCTTAGGTCTTTGGCAAAAATCACACCAAGGCTTTTGGCAGCTGGAGTTCCAAGAGCAAATCTAGCACGATTAGAAAAAGACTGAGACCCAATATTGAGATTTTAAGTCCAAGTATTCGTTGGGAACAGTAAACATTGGGTTTGAAGGGCAGCTTTGTATGTCGTCAGCAGAGAAATAAAATAACAAATCATGACCCAAAGGTAACATGTATAAAGAGAACAAGATAGGATCAAGGAGCCCTGAGGGACATCACATGTTACTTTACCAGAGAAGATATATAATCTGATTTTCAAGAGCCCTCTACCCCTTCTATTTGTGGGACCAGATATTATTTGGGACCATTCTCAGCAAAGAAGTAACACTAACATAGTAGTATGTTTGCTGGTACGAGTGTATCAAGCACAGTTGCTGTGTTTATGTCTAGCTTAGTTACTGCTAATAAACAGCAGCAAGGTGTAGCTACAAAGCAGAGGTCATTAATACAGTGGCTGGTGAGTGTATTGGTTAGTATGTATGAGCAGATGTTCATTTTACTAATGCATGGATGTGTATGGTATGGGTTGGAGGATATTGCTGGATGTATGCAATATGTTGGTGGATACTGCATAGATACTGCTGTATAATTTTGGGTTATGCATTTTTATTTTTATTTCTTTATTCTTACCTGGTCTTTTTTTTCTGACAAAACATGATTCACAATTGTGCAGTTTTTGCTAAAGAAAATAACATAGGGATGGTGACTGGATTGGCTGAGAGGTTGAAGAATGTGAGTAGATTTTGTTTTAGTGTATGGGTGGAATTGTGTATGTATTGTTGGGTAATGCACTGTGCAAGGTCACATTCTTTGCTCTATTGTTACTCTCAGCACACCTCTGTCAGATAAAAAGAATGAAAAACAAAAAAGATATTGTAACAATATAGTAATCGAGGCAGCTAGTAGGGATAATCCCTCCCTCTCTTTCAAAGAAAAAGCCATAAATATAAGGTTTTTTGGCATTCACACCGTTTTACTTTGAAGTTAACAAATAACTAGAGGCTATTATTTTAGATCTGTGGACCTGAGAACAATGGCTTTAAAAGAAGATCATAAGAAAAATATGAATTGATAGATATGTGGGTCTGGTTTAAGTCTAGACTTAGGATCCCCCATTTTTGCTGCCCATTTGGACTAATGTTTTTAAGCTTGTGATGCTCAGCTCCACCTTCCTTCTATCTGCAGTCAATACTAGTAAGGGTGGAATAGTCCAGTTCTAAAATCTGATTGGCTAAGACATATTTAACTCACTGCAACCCGACTCTAAAATACTAACGCTAAAATGTCAAAACTTGCAATGTGTGAAACATTTATAAGGCTACAGAGAACCTAAATAAGATTTTCATAGCAAATGACAAATCTATGTCTTTATGACTACTGTTGCTCGTTGAAATAAGCCAGTGATTTTGGGTAGGCTTGATAGATACAACTCACAGATGGACTATAAACTGCAAAGTCATAACATTAGAATAGAGCCTATAGCTGACAGCAGTGCAGTCACCCCCCTCTTTCCTATTGCTTGCACTCTAAGGTGATACAAAACAATAGCAATCAACCAAACTACTGCCTTTACACAAACACAATCAACTTGTTTGCTCACCACAGACACAAAATTTGCCCAATGAAGATGATATAAGGTGTACAAACAACACAGCAAACTTACACAAAAACCTAAACCTAATCATCCTAGGCTAAAGCATACTGCCATGGCAGGCAGGGCCAAAGGAGACGACATGACCAAAATAATATTAGACTGCTGAGATGTGCAAAGATAAGAAAAAAGAACATGGCAAACTTAAACACCTACTGCCTCAAAGGGCATGAACAATGTTTATGGGCCTTTTATGTCTTACCTTTGATTGAACATATTGAAGTAGGTGTTTGACATTTTGACACACCCCATTTAACAGAAAATGACAGCATTTATAAAATTTATAAGTTTTTGGCTTCATATGGGCAGAAAATGACAATCAGGGATGGGATCTCACTTTTTTACACCCTCAGCTACGTTTTTGACCACAGCTGGAGCTTCATATTCAAACACTGGCACGCTGATCACGAGCTGAAGGCTTGAGGTGATGGCAGATAGCAACGGTTGCTAAGCAGTGATTGGAGGGCTATAAAAAAAAGGCAGAACTTAGTGGAGAGTGTAATGTTATGATTAGCCATAATATAGTGACTCCCCAAAAAAAACCTAATTTTATTAGCTTAAAAAAGACCCCATTTGATTGGTTTGGCCTGTGATCATTCAGACCCAGAAATTTATCTAAAAAAAAAACTGCAAAACTGCAATGCAATGCTTCAATGAAATGTTGATCTGCTAGCCATTAAGTAATGCTACACACATTTACCCATTGAATCAGTAGCTATTTAGACAGCTTAGTCATAGTTTCATTGCTATCATAGCCATCGATAGTTGTTTAGCTGTCCCATCCAATATTATGACCAGACATCACTGGTTGCAATCTTGGTCATTTCAACATTTCAATATATACAGATTACAGTATGTAAACAAGTGCAGGCTACCTGGCTCAGGTGTGTTGGGAGCTGGAATAGAGCAAAAGGAAATGTGGCTCTTTAAAGACTGGAATGGAAATCACTGTTATGACTGGAGTATGTTAACAGGTAATGTAAGGGAGGAGAGAGACTTTGCGAGTGGTGAAACAGGATTGGGGATTGATGGGATAATGCATGCAAATCCAAAGCAGCCTGCAGCTCGCACTGTAGCAGTAGGATAATGTGTAGTTGAAGTGCTGTCAGTGGAAGCTTGCAGTTTAAAGGAAACTACAGTAATAGGCCGGAACAGGATCTTTATGCGAGATGCCCATTTTGCCCTCAGCACAAACTAAAGTTCCTGTCAGTTTACTAAACCTAAAAGGAAACCAGACCCTATGAACAAGCACCTTTATATTTCAGTCACCCAATACGTGTTTTAATCCACAGTGTTAGAATGTTCTGTTTTTGTTTGTTTTTGTCTGACTACTGAGGTCCAAAGGGGGCTGTGTGTAGGGGCCCCAAGCACCATTTAAAGCCCACTCCAGTCTCCGTTGTTGCATTTCCAGTATCGACTCTGTGACGCTGTAAATACATTCCAAATCTCAATAAAGAGATCCGAAGGGAAGAGAAGCAACCATGTCTCATGGTGGTCATTCACAAGTGCCTGATGGAGCATTCCAGTATGTAACTAGCATTTAATTTTATTTATGTTATGCAATATATATAAACCACAATGGATTTAGAACAGGCATGTCAAACTGGGGACCTTCTGGATTTACCCTACTGTTTACCCTCATCTAACACTCCAAATTCAGTTCATGAATGCCTTGCTAATTAGCTGTTGAGCTGACATACTTTAGAAGGTGCCCCACACTTCCTAGCATGTTTAGCAACCTTTTAAATCCAGTGTGGTACATTTTAAAGTCAACCCAAAATCAAAATGGACTTCTTCACCTGGTTGCACCACTCGTGCAGAGAACCCTGCATCAAAGAAGTGTCAATCACTCTTTTTAGGCCTGTAGACTTTAATAAGCTGTGGTGTAAGGTCTTGATGTTTGTAGACCTGGTTAAACAAAACATGTTTCTATATTAAGCCAGATTATTTCAAGATTCATGTTAATTCAGTTAATTATAATTAAATGTCCTGTCCAAGGTGTTTTCCTGCCTACCACCCAATGACTGCTGGGATAGTCTCCAGCTCCCCACCGTGGCCCAGAAGGATAAGTGGCTTAGAAAATGTGTGTGTTTTGTTGCTCCACTCAGGAGTTTGCTGTGTAGCCAGAAGGCTATAAGTTTCAAACACTGTTCCATTTTACTGGAACCAAAGTGAAAACCGTGTCTAATTGTTTTCCAGTGTTCATAATATCCAATTAAAATGTATTTAAATTTATTCAATATAGGTTTAATACATTTATGTTGTGCTTTCAGGTCACAATATCCGTATCCTTTGAATATTTACTGAACACCTTTTTGTTTACTATTTGTCCAGATAGTTCTTCAAAAAGTACTCTGAATATAAAGTCATCTACCCCATGTTCTTCCCACAAAACGTGTTGGGCATGTTTTACAGGACGCTTACCTAAACGCAATTCAGCCTATTAAGAAATTGTATTTGTAGCTAACAGAAACTAGATCAGAAATGGTGCAGACTAAAAATTAGCCCAAATTATAATGTTAGTTAGATTATACAACAGAAAATGACCATGTGATCTATCCTTGCAGTGTGACTTTAACACCTGTAAAAACCAATATCACTCTGATTGTGTTGTTAAAGGTTTTTTGTTTTCCTAGACTAAATTTACTTTAATTGGAGTTTAGATTTCTTTCATATTTTCAGTGACAAAGCTAACTAACCACAGTCATTTTTTCATGACCTTTTTTATTCATCTTAAACCAATTATACCAATAATAATGGAGCTGACTGTATAAAGTCTTGTTTAAAGGAAAGAATTATGTCAAATTCTTATTACACTCTGAATATAATTTAACCATGAGGAGCTTTTAACAGTAGTTCCGGACTGAAGGATATATGGAATTAGATATTCGCTATTTTAGAGGGTATTTTTAACCAGATACTTATTTTTACCTTCAGCTGAAACACAAAGGAAGCCTTCCAAAAATGTCTACTTCTGTGTCCAGTTATGGCCCAGTGTGTGTAAAGTTTTTCAAGCTTCATGAAACTGAAACAGCATGTCTGCTGATAAGCAGAAATTAGTTTTATATTTTGTCCAATGTGTGTTTGCTTATTTCTTTGTTTAAGTAAGTTAGGAGGTTTCTCTCAGTGGTAGGTAGAGATGGTGGGTGGTTAATATTACCTTGTCCTGCTGGTGCATGATGACAAAATCATAACTTTAGAGGTGAGCAAAAGTCATTATATTATGATGCATGATTGCAATAAAACAAGTTTGTCTTTCAAATGATACAATGATACAATATGCTAATATGAAACAAACATAAACTAACAAAGTAAAAAAAAAAATGTTTTTTGATTTCAAGTTGACTTTAAACTGATACTGAGATGAATGATTGCTTTGTGTGACCCAGTTTTTTAAGAGCAGTCATGAGGAATGTGATGAACACAGCTACGACATTTCAGGTGGCTGGATTAGAGCTTTAATGGGCCCTGAAATTTTGATCTGGACCTGAATGTAGCCTGAGAACACTTTGTCCAGGTGCATTCTGAACCACAGTACCAAGTTTTGAATCTGATCTAGTCTGTAGCCCAGTAACATCCAGTTGTCCAACTGACCTAAACATGCTGGTTGGCTTTGTGGACATCAGAAGGTGTATAAACACTACTGTAACTATCCACCGCAGTGCTAGAATACCTAAATAAAGCCACCATCATGGCTCCATATCTATAAATGCAAACATCAAGGACTCACTGGGGGGCATGCTACAAAGCTGCCAGAACACGGTTAAGTTTCTTTAGTGTTGCAAGGAAGAATATTCACTCACTCACTCACACACACACACACACACACACACACCTCAGACTTCTTGAACATACTTTTGACTTGCTAATCCCAACATATCTGCTGAAAAAAGTCACTAAATTCTCAAAATTTGGCCGAAGTAGGTGGTCTCAGTTGCACTGATTGGAGCACATTTAAGGACGCTGCTGCATGAGGGGGTTGCACATGTAAAAAATACATTAAATAAATTCCATACAATTTTTACAGTTGATCATACACTGTAGAAACATTTTTTGTCACTTATGAGTTCCTCAAACGATCATTGAAGCTGAGGCATGAACCTCATAAATACTCATATTTTAGCTGATGCAGGCAGGCACATGAGAAGGAACATTACTCTGGTGTTACTTAGACTTAAAGCACCATATATGTTTCATAAGCAGCAGTGTATTTCTAGATCAAATGCCAAATTAATCTCCACTATACAACAAGTGCAAAGATGATAATACCCCCAGTATATAGCTATTGTGATTATTATTATTATTGTTGTATTATTATTATTATTATTATTATTGTTGTTGTTGTTGTTATTATCATTATTGTTATTATCGTTTTCCCACCATTCTTAAATTTCCTTAAATTTCACTCCAATGTGTCAGAATTTGTTGGAAAATGCCTCTACATGATGCATTTTTTCCAAAAATTTCAGATTACTTCATAAAATGTACATTCAATATTGAGCCAAATTTGCCAAAATACGTAAGGCTATAGTCTTACCTTCATGTGTGTTTTTCGACCATTCATAAATTCCCTTAAATTTCATGCCAATGGATGAACATTTGTTTTAAAATGCTTCCATATGATATTTTATCCAAGGAAAAATTCAAATTACTTCAAAAAAGGTGCATTTATTGCTACGTCAAATTTGGCAAAGTACGTAAAGCTATAGTCTTACCTTCGTATGCGTTTTTCAACCATTCATAATTTCC